GTGGACTCAGCCTATCCTCGATATGCCCGGGCGCTTTCTTGAAACCGCCGGCGGTGCCACGGCGGAAGCCGTTTGGGCTTCGCTTCTCTTCGCGGCGAGCCGGCAAGACGCCTGGCGAGACTTCAGGGAAGCGCTTCTCTCCGGACGGGGAGGGGTGGGGTGGGGTGTGTGTGTGGAAAACCTGCCTCGGGGATAGCCGGCAACTTTGGCGGAGATGCAGCCAGCTGCGGAGCAGAGGCAGGCGAGTCCCCGGCTCCCTTGAAATCTCGCCAAGCATCTTAGCTTGCCTGGGATGGGAAAAGGCGAGCAAGGCCGCTGCAGTCGCCCTCGGGGGCGGGGAGGGGGGCGCGGAGCTCGGCTTTTGTGCTCATCCTGCCAGGCTGAGGAAAGCGCCCGACCCGAAGTGAGAGTTTGGCGAAGGTTTTTGGCGGGGCAGGCGGACGCGTCTTCCAAGCGCCTGAGGATGGAGGGCAATCGACGGGGGCCTGAGGGTGGAGGGCAATCGACTCCAAGTCCCAGCCTGCGCTGCTTCCTCCGCTGCACCTGGCTCAGGTATGGGAGAGGCAGGTCGCAGCACGTCGCGGACAGGACAGGACGGAGCGCGCAGAAAACTCACACATTAACGCATGCAGGCACCCGCTTCGGGACGGGGGGGGGGGCGGGGGGGGGGGGGGGGGGGGGAGGGTTGGTAAGCGGGGTTGGCAGGCAGATCAAAAGCCCTCGACGGGCCCTGTTGGCACCGAATCCCGGAGCTGGGCTGGTGCAGGATGGACTTGCTGCTGGCATTGTCCCCGGGCACCTGTTCTGTGGCATGGGGAAGATTATAGCCCGGCTGGGGTGCGGGGAGGGATTGCTGCCGTTCCTGCGTCCCTTGTACTGAGAGTGATGGCGTCAGGAGGCCACGGCGAAGCCCAAGCCTGCGTCCAGAATGGCAGCTCGAACCTCAGTGCCCTCTCCAGAATGAAGGGGGCCGTCCCAAGATGAAAGGATCCTCCCCGCTCGGCTTCTCTCCCTATATTGGAGCGCCTGCGCGTCGGACCCCGGCAGGGGTCGCTCTTTCCAAGGGAGTTGGGGGGCTCTTAGCGATGCAGGCGGAGCCCGGTAAGGTAGTCTGCTTCTCTCCCCCCCCCCTCTTTTTTTTTCTTTCTTTTTTTCTTTGGGGTGTGTGGAAGAAGAGGAACCTCTCTTGGATCTCCCATTCTCTAGCCCCAACTTCAAAGGTCTGTTAGCCTGCAAGAAGGGCGGGGAGGGGGGTGGGGGGGAGAGAAATCTACCGGAGCTGGCCGGGAGAGCGAGCGAGCCTTTGAAGTGCCCATCAGCCGCGGGCCGGCACTCGGGTTACAGCTGCTTGGCCCGGGGCCCGGTGGGACGGGCGAGGAAGGGAACTTTGATCTTGGTTACTTCCGCACAGCGCCCTCTAGGCCCGGGCCCGTCCAACGCTCCCTTGCAGCGACGCGGCGCCTCTGCCTCCAACATCCTCCGTCGTTCGAACCCAGGTCCAGCTGGGCATCATCATCATCATCATCACCACCCTTTCTCTGCTTCGAGGATTGACCCCGCCATGGTGCCCTGGGCAACGCTGCTCCTTTTGGGGCTGTTGTTCTGCTGCTGTTTGGGTCACAGCAGCCAGACGGGAGCGCCTCGGGTTTATCTCACCTACAAAGGTAAGAGAAGCTTAAAGTCGTTCAGGTGAGTCCCGGGTAAGACTGTATTTTTGCCTTCCGGTGGCGCCTCCTCTCCTGGGTGGGCATGCCAGTATTGGGAGAAGGGAGAAAGCTGCAAGGGGGCACTGGGGTGGACAAGGGTGAGGCATGGCAATCCATTGCAAAACTCTTGACAGAATAGAGAGCTTTTTTTCTGTTTGTGGGAAGAGAGCCTGGTGATATTCAAAAATCAGGAAAGTAGCTGGTAGCCCCTTTTCAGACTAATAAAATTGATTTGTGGGGAAAAGTACAACCTTCTGATTTTGGGGTTCTTCTCTTTGTTTCTTAAAGACTTATATGCCTACCGTTAGTCACCCAGCCTGTTAGCCTAGATAACGGATTTAATGGCAGCAGATTCTCTGAAGGGATAAAAAACACAAATTAAGAAAATAAATTAGACGAAAATAGTCTTTCAAGGACCAATAATGAATCTGCTGTATATGACTATGAGTTTTTATTACAAGGAATTATCCTTAGATTGGTTGGACTAAGCTTAAAAGACTGTTCCTAAATTAGACTGGTACGTGGTAGAGAGTGCGTTTTTCAGGAAGTCCGGAGAAAATCTAGGTTTCCTTCCTCCCTCCCTTCCTTCCTATTGGAAATGAGGAAATTGTAACAAGTTCCAAGGTTTTACTGTGAGAAAGGAAAGCAGGAAGAATACTTCTTTAACAACTAAATAACATTGTTAAAGTAAACCATGGTCTTTCTCAAGATGACAACTCCTGATAATTTTGTCGTGGTTTTCTTGGCAACAGTGTGGAACTGGTTTGCTGCTGCCAACCTTGAGATTTCCTTGTAGTCACCCATTCAAATTGAACTAAAGATACTTTTTGAGAAGATTGTCTAACTGCTGTTTAGTGCTAAAAGGGGCGATTATGAAAACACAATGACTGGCTCACCAATCATTTTAACTATGCACTCTGATAACTTGAGTAAACATTTTGGCTCTCCCAGGAATGGATTCTTATCATGGGGAAAGGAATTATTCCTGCATCGTACCACTGCTCAGCTTATTGATACTGGTGCCCAAAGTAATCAGCTGTATTCCTAGCTTTGATTGGGGAGGTCCAGGAAGGCAAGAAAATGTTACTTTAATACTAAATCAGTCTCAGCCTAACTGATTCATTGACAGACTATGAGGATAAAAAGAGATAATCCCCAGGTAAGCTCCCAACAACAGTTTAGAGGAAAGTGAGAAGTCTGCTGTTATCTTAAAAAAAAACAAAAACCTACAGTACAATTGGATTCTGGAGGGACAGCAAATGTTGACTGTAATGGCTTTGTTTGGCTGAAACCAATAACCTGCTTCTTTTTGCCAAGAATTCCTTCCACCTCTAGTGTCAAACCAAACACCTTGGAGATTTGCAGAATAATTTCTTTTCTGTGAGTCAGCTGCTACATGGTGTGTGTGTGTGGATCTTGTTGTCAAAGAGAAAGTTTGCAGTCATTTTTAGCAAGGCAGAAGATCTAGTTTCATGCGTCAAATCTCTTCTTTTTAAAATTTTAATATTATTTATGGCAATGGCCACGGGTTCCTGTGGTCGTCTTATGTTGGACCTAATCAAAACAGATACAGACGTTAACAGTACCCAGCCTTGTTTCAAACCACTGCGTCTATACATTCTGAAGAGCAGCAAGTTTTGCATCAGCAAAATGCAAAGGGCGTATAATTTCAAGATCCCATATTCTCAGATTTCTGACCTGAGATGGCCAGTTGTACCTTTAAAAAAAAAAAAAGGCTAACTGTAGATTATAGATTTTCTCAGTGGCTTTATGGTTTAAAACACTCTAGGGTGCTGGTGAGTGTTATATGTGCAGAACCACTTTAAGGATAGTTTAGCCATGTGGGACCCAAGGCAGCCAATCAAAGCAGCTTGTCTGTGCATGATGGATGCATCAATTTGTGGCTGTCAACACACAGAGTCACCCTCTTGCTTGTTTCTGTACTGCTAATCATTGTCTGGATGGATTGTGTTTTTGCTGCGGAGAGTATTTTTGTACAAGGGGTGTACAAGTTACTGCTGTGTAGGCACATCATACCGTCATCTGTGGGTCCGTCTGCCTGCTTCGGCAAGCATTCTTCCCCCCCACCCCCCAAAAAATGCCCAGTGACCTTGCTGGGTTCCCCTACACTCCCCTCTGTTCTTGGGGATTCCGGCATCTAATTACTTGCCAGCCACTGGGGGAAAGGATTTCCCAGAAGAGCTTAAAATACCCAGCATGCCATACAGAGAAGGGACTAGAACGTGGATGGATTCCCCTTCCTAAAGCACATTGTGGGGCAGGGGAAAAGAGAGGGAGCTTGGCTTGGAGAGGAGCTTAACGGCTAGGCTGTGCATGCCACGTTCCCTGCTATAGATACCCTGCTGCCGTTCTCACTGTAGTTGCTTTGCCGTCCTTTCCTTCAACTATGAAAATGTAGCTCATGTGTACATGTGAAAGGGAGGGGAGGGGGTGCATAAAGAAACAGCGAGAGCCTTGGCCAAAGGACAATTCATTCCTTTGGGCGGCAGCAGCCTTGGCTATAAAAGGCAAAGCTCCAGACATCACTCTGGTTTCTCTGTACACGCGCATGTGCCCGAATGGATAAAGAGATACGCACCCCACTCTGTGTGCTTGCTTAGGCTCGTGGACATACATACATGGACCGTAAGGGATATCATGTGCAACTAGTGAAGGGGTCAGGGGGGACTTGGGTCTTCCTCCCATGGAACTGGGCAGGTTGTGTGGGTTTCTGGTGAGAAACCTGATCAGCCTGAGTCCACCTTGGGAGCACTCTGGGGAGGCAGGTGTCTTCCATGGGAGGTTTTCCACCAGAGTCCATAGCTCAAGTCATGTTGGTTATTCTGGGTTTTGGGGATGGTGGCGGCAAGTACAACAGCGCGTCCCGATGATTGTGCCCGCTATGGTTTAAGCAAGGTCTGGCAGCATATTTGGATTAAGTGGACTCTGTAAGGAGATGCTCCTGCTAAGACAGGCCCTTTGATTATCACAGTATATTAAAGTTTTTGAGCGTGGCTGGTTATAACTCAATAGTCTATCTTGTTCCAAGGTTTGCCAGACAAAATAATTCTGCCTGTTCATTCTATGAAACGGGTGAAAGACAAATGGCGAACAGAATGAATTATGCAGGATCCAATCTGGGTCGGTCACTGGGACCAGAGGTTCCAAGCTTTTGGACTGGTGCTGGAAACCTCTCTCTCACCAGAATGTGTGCTTTGAGTAGAATTTGTGTTGCGCCTAGTATTGATATGGTGCCTGGTTGTGTGGGGCTTTTTAGTTGTTCATTAGGGTATTGATGGCCAGTTGTGGGTCACCAGAAGTTTAGTCTTCCGGCCATCCACACGCCAATCAACAACTCAAAAAGCCACACACAAGCAGGCACCACATAAATATTATACAGAGAATAGCCCAAAGCACACATTCTGGCGAGAGAGAAGTTCCCTGAGAATAGGCTCCAGCACAAATCCGAAAGATCGGAAGATTAAACCTCAGGTTCCGGTGTCTGACACAGATTGGATCGTGCAATATTATCCTGGGACACTTATATTTGCCTTCATTCATGGAAATGAATTGTTTTCTCGTTGAACCTCACTCTTGCCAAAAACTCAGCTTTAGCCAGCTATTTTCTCTCGGCTTTGGCTCTTTATGTAGGCAGGTTGGACCTGCCCTTATACAGACCAAGGCCAATGCTGGGTTACAGGTAAGAGAGGGAAAGGACTATTAGAGAGTTGAGCTGGTGATGGGGCATACAGCTGCCCCAGGCTCGCTCCTGAGCAATCCCGCTACCCTTTTGGTGCAATGGAAAATGCTATTCATTTCCTAAAGATGAGACAGAATACTATAAAGTATGGAATAAATTCTATCAATGGTGGGAAAAAAGGAAGGATCTAGAACCAAAAGAAAGTAGGGTTGGCAGAATAGATGATTAGAAACAGAAAATATTGTATCAATGTATAAATCTATATAAAATATGTATTCTATGCCATAATATGTATGACAAACAGGATTGTCAGGACGATCACACCACATCCAATGGTTTCAACAATTTAATCGATAAAACTTTTTCAAAGAAAGAAAGAAAGAAAAAGAAAATGCTATCCATTTCCAGTGTTGGAAGCACCCTCAGCTGCCATTCTGCTCCATTTCTGGAGAATGGCACTAGCCAGGGGAGGTCCATATCAGGTGGCCAAAAATCCTGCCCACCCATGTCCTCTCTGCAATATAAAGGATAATAATCCTGATTTCTTTTACTGGGTTATTGTAGGAAGTGCCATTATATGATAACTAACTCTGCTTCCCCTACTGAAAGCTCTAGCAGGGCGACCCAGGATATAAAGTGGCACCCTCTTGTACCAGCTACATAAATTAAAAAAAAAATTGCTGAATCTGACTTCAGAATGAGTGATGGGACGGCATCTCTCTCATAGCAGAAGGCACCTTTTTAAGCTTAGGAGGTTAGGCAACCTGGGTCTCTTCTCTACAGAAGGGAACATCTAAAGTGTTCCTTCATTTCCAATCGATGTACCTCCTGAGCTTTTTTTCTTTGGGTTTCATTTTGCTTGATAGAGAAACTAATCCTGACTAACGTACATTATGGTTCACCCTTCAAATAACACAGAAATACAAATCACAGTTCTGTGATTGCAGAAGTAATGAGTGATCTGAGCAGAATTCAACTTGCTTGGCATATTTCATAAGGGTGGTGGTGGAGCTAAGGCTAAAAAAGATCCATTATTAAGCCCAAAGAGCTTCAGTCATCGTGCCAAAGACCAACAACGTGCTGACCAGTTGCACTTCCTAGACACATATTTCCCATTGACTGTTTTGGCAGGCTGCAGCCTGCTTTAGTCTGCCTGCAAGATGACAGATGATTCTAATGTTTCCTGATTTCTTTTTTTTTTTTTTTGTAAAAATTTTATTTGGGTTTTCACAAATGTTTCCTGATTTCTTGCTTGCTCCTCCAAAGGCCATCCCTCCTTTTTCCCAAGTGCAGCGGGCCTATGAAATCGAACAATAAGGGGTTTGTGGGACCCAAGGGCTCCATTTCTGCCAAGGCAGACTCCTACCTAAAGGCTTCCTTGTCTGCAACAGAATGGACTTCTTCTGGGTATGGAAATTCCAGGTGGTTAAAAAAAAATGGTGAAGGGGCCTCTGTGGATTTTACTCCACTAGTCATAGACGACTTTAGGGACTGTGCTCATCTTTGTGAGCCAGCATTGTCTGAAGACGTTTCTGCAGTCATGTGGTCAGCGTGATATCATGGAACGTTGTTACCTTCCCACTGAAGTGATACCTATTTATCTACTCACGTTGGCATGTTTTCAAACTGCTAGGTTGGCAGGAGCTGAGGCAAGTAAAGGGAGCTCGCTCCATAGCGCGAAGCTCAGGTCGCAAACCTGGACTGCCGGCTTTCCAGCCAACAAATCCAGTGTATTAACCGCTGAGCCACCGCTCCGCCAATTCCAGATGGCCTCCATGAAAATCTTGTGAACGGATTGTTTTCCCTGTGCCACCAATGATTTCCACCCACACAATCCTGATGGTACAGCAATTGCACCTGAATTATTTATTTTGTCCCAGAGAAGTCCATTAGGGGAGTGAGACCGTCTTCATCTGATGTCCAATAAACCTCTATCCTCATTATCAGCATTCCGTTGGTGATAAATGGATGCAGGAGGATGAGGCATTGGCAAGATGCTTTCAAGAGGTTCTGCTTTGATGTTCTCCATCACAGTCAAGAATACCTGATAATCTAACATTGTTAGGTTGTCTTAGAAGAGATTAATGCCGCTACTATATACCCCCAGTGTTATATAATGGGCATTGTATATCAAAACTGGGTAGTATACATGATACAGTCTAACCCTGGGCATATTGCCATTATTTCTTGGGGCAAGCATGATGGTCTCCCACCTGCCATGTGTTAATGCCTGGGGAATTCCATCAGGTTTCCAGGGTTCCTTCCCAGCTTCCAGAGAAGAGATGGGAGATGTCAGCTGAACTGGACAGAGAGAGGACAGATTGGTCAGATTCCTGCAATTCTGCTCTTGGCTTGGTTGTTTCTTTAATTCAATTTCAATTCCTCATCTCCCCAGACTCATCTCTCCCCTGCATCTGTTCCTCTTCAACCTCCTGGAAATCTGCTTTTCTTCTCGGCTTTAGCCCACTTGCCCAGAGGGATTAGGCCAATTTTGGTCCCTGATCTCTGCATTCTTGCCTAGACTTGACTACAGAGCATAACTGGGCCTGGCTGGTGTCCTCTGGCCTCATCCCCAAGGTCGCCACAGGTGGGAAGTTCACCCCATCGCTCTCTGATCTGTGCCCATGGAATGTGGCTAGGGGATTGCTGGGGGATTTAGACTCTTTGCTGTACCAGCCGCTGAACACCCCCCCACACCCACGTTGGCTCCGCCTTTGCCACTTCAAGAGACCAAAATACCCCTTGAGCTCAGCCCAAGCCAGCCCACCCCACCCATCACGTGGGTCAACATGATCCAGTTGCTGCCCTTTCTGTGTGCGAGGAGAGCGGGGGAGGGGGGGGAAAAGGGTTAAAAAAAAAGGCAGATTAGGATTCTGGAATCTTGTCTTTTGTATGGTCAGGTGGACAGTGGGCTAGGGCAAATTCATCACATAGGACTGTCCTCTTCCAGAAAGATGGCCAAGGGGCCAGATATCTCTAAGAAAGTAGGGGACCTTTTGGGGGGGACCTTGCTCAGATGAAAATAGTCGTAGGTGGGAAGAGTAAGGAGAAGTGAAGACCATAGAATTTCCCATCGGTGTTGAATCTCCAGGCAGCATATTGAATGAGTTATCAAGTTATAGCTTTCCCCACTCTAGTAAGATAACCAAAGTTCGCTTTACATCAGAGGTCTCCGAACTTGGCAACTTTAAGACTTGTGGACCAAAGTCCACAAGTCTTAAAGTTGCCAAGTTTGGAGACCCCTGCTTTACATAAAGATTCCTAAAAATGTATTTAGGCGCAAGCCTGGCCTCTCTTTTTGTCAGTGTGTAAATGGTGTCCTACTCCTGAGAAGTAGGCGGCAATGAGGCTGGTCCTTGACTCTGAGGCTCTCCCTCCACAGAATTGTTAGAGACCCGCACTGCTCGCCCTTTCAGCTTCAACTTTAACACCAGTGATTATCGCATCTTATTGGTGGACCAAGACCAGGAACGTCTCTATCTGGGGGCACGAGATTTTCTGGTGGCCTTGGATCTTCACAACATCAACAAGGAGCCACTGATTGTAAGTCGGGGGGTGGGTGGGAAATCCCTCTGGATCAGTTCAGAATGTCGATCATGTTAGCATTGATGATGTTACTTAATTTGGGTAATAAAACATCTACAAGAAAACAACCAAGCTCAGAGAGCAAGAAAGACCTCTCATGTTCATCAGGCCCAACGTTTTTCTGCAGTGGTTGCTAACTGCCTTGGGTTGGGTTGACAGATGCAATAGAGTAAACAAGGCAGTGGGATAGGTATATCCCACTTACATATCTTGAAAGATGGACAGGATTCATTGGGTTGTAGCTCAAACTAAGAAAGGCCAACTGTAAGAGGAGTTGGAGAAGCAATAAACCAAAAGGAGCGGCATCTCAAGATGACCCTTCTTTCTCTCTCTCTTTATTTCTCTCTCTCTTTATTTCTTCAGATCCATTGGCCAGCATTACCAAACCAGGAGAACGAGTGTCGCTTGGCAGGGAAAGGGCAGAGAGTAAGTGGCAATGGTTACCCTGTACCTAGTGCGTTTATTGGCTTGGCTTCAATGCATCTGTGGACTGAAAATACGTTCGGTTTTGAGTGTCCAAAAGCTATCCAATTTCTTGCATCTTTGGAAGGAAAATAGTTACTTTTGGTTTTGTCTCAGTTGCTAGGTTTTTTTTTTATTCTATACAATCCAGGATCCTTAATCTATGTATTCCTGGGAAGATGGAGACTGTATGAACGCCTGCCTGGCAACTCCTTGTATCTTCCAGCTCATGTTTTCCTTCTTCTTGTCCTGTAGGGTGAATGTTTCAACTACATACGGCTGATGGAGCCTTTGAACCGTACTCATCTCTATGCCTGCGGAACGGGGGCTTATCATCCAGTCTGCATCCTTATCAATCGTGGTTGGCGCTCTGAAGTAAGAAAACGGACCCACGACCCAACAATGTCTTCCTGCTGGAAAAGAACCATAGAGTATCTTAGCGATAGAAGGGCATCTCTCTCTCTCTCTATGCTCAGTCTGCGGCACCTTTGGGGAACTTTGAGGAAGATAATCAGAGCAGAATAGGAATTAACTCAGCTGGCTGGTGGTCTGCCTTGATATGAGGTCACTTCTATGAAGGGACAGTCGAGAAAAGAGGGCAGGGCAAAGACAGAATTTGGAAGCAGGGACTGGAACACTTACCCTGAAAGTGACTTCATTTCTATATGACTTGAAATCAAAGTAGGCTTTCGGGATGATGTTCCTGTTGTCCTTTCCCTGTTTTCTTCTCCACAGGAATACCTGTTTCGCATAGTGCCTCATTCACTGGAACCAGGCAAGGGGAAATGTCCTTACGACCCCCGGCAGTCCAGCATGGCTGTGCTTATCAGTAAGTAGCTTTGAGTGAGTTGAGTTGGATGAAGTATTGCTAAGATACAAAGAATAACTGTGCTGCTGTATAGGTACCATGCGGAGACTGTGTTGTAGCTGTTAAACCCAAGCTGCTTCTTCCTGGGTGGCATGGCCGTGCTCCATAGCTGTCATATGATCCCACAAAAAAAATGGTGATTGGTTTAAGCAGTTGCTGACATGTGCTGTGTGAGTGTGTGTCCGTCCGTGTGTCCATGTGCTCTTTTTAATTGCAGGTTTCCTTTGAATCTGAATTGCCGCACAACCCTGCTATCTATAGCTCCTATCTGATCTTTGTGGCTTTTGGTTTGTTATCAGGGCTGCAGGAAGTAAACAGCTGACTGGAGGGGAACAAAGTACTTGGGAAAGGTCTTTGCGAGAGAAGCTTTCGTTAATTGCACAGAAATGCTTGGGATGGCTGAGGTCTCATATTCATCCCTGGCATTTCATTTGAAAGGATTGGAGGGAGCAGAGCTGAGAAGTACCATTGTCTGACACCCTGGCAAGATCGTGTCTGTAGGCAGCAGCAGCGGCGGCAGCATCTATCATGAGCTTTACCGATGCTCCAACGATACCATTCCTGTGATGATGACATAGCTGAAATGCACCAATACGTCCTGATGTCACAATATCTTAGGCATAAATTGTGGCCTTGGTGCAAATGGCATCAACACACCCAAGCCTACTTGATCATTTCCCTACCCCACCCTCAAGGCCATCCATGCTGTTGAGTAGATTTGATTGACAAAGCCTAAGGCACCTCCCTGTATTTTAATGTTCTCAAGACTCCATATCTTACAGAGTTCCCCTGATTATGCCTGCACATGATTACTCCCAATGATGTTCCATTGTTCCTCTTCTTCCTGACCCACCCCCTCCAGATAACACACTGTATGCTGGAGTTCACGTGGATTTCATGGGCACCGATGCTGCCTTGTTCCGGACCATGGGACCACGCCCAGCTGTACGTACAGAGCAGCATGATTCCCGGTGGCTCTACGGTAGGAGGCCAAACACCATCTAGAGAAAAACCAAGGGGGAAATTGGACTGAATGATGAGATAAAGAGACCGTGACGGAGAACACATAGAAGAATGAATTCTTATAGCGTGAATATCTTATGCAGCGGGAGGTGGGGGGGTGGGAGGGAGGAGGATGGCATCAGGATAGTGCCAGGACTTGCCAGTCACCCAGAAAAAAATAGTACAGTAGCCTTTGCCAGGGCAAGGGCTGTTCTTGGAGTTTGACTGGCAATCCAAATGTTGGCAGGAGCAGGGGAACCATGTTGTGTTGGAAGCAACTTCATACGATTGCTCCCCCATTGATGTGAAGCTGCTCCTGTCCAATTAAAAATTGTACTCTGTTGACTGCAAGACATGGCTTCTGGGTGCTGCGTCCACTAACAGAGCCTGCAGCCAATGAAACGCCTCTGCCAAAGAGCCAAAGTCAGCAGACTTTATTTTTCTCTCCTTCATTCTATTGTAGTCTCTAAAAGGCCTCTGTTGGTTGGTCTGCAGACAAAAGCACCCCAAGGCGCAGGAGTAGACAGGGACCTGCAGAGGAACTGTGCCTACTAAGGAGAGGGACCTTATACTTTGGACTTGCTTTATGGCAGCATCTCTTCCCAAAAGTTTGCTTCAGGCTAAACTAGAGTGTTTGCAGTCTCCATCTGGTGGTGGACCCATGCAATGGCATCTCTTTCCCCCTTCCCCAGACCCCATTTTCCTCCAAGCCCACGTCATTCCTGACAGCTCCGACCACAATGATGACAAGCTCTACTTCTTTTTCCGTGAAAAAGCACTGGAGGGTGCCGTGGGGCCTGCCGTACTCGCTCGGGTGGGACGGGTGTGCCTGGTGAGCAGAGTGGGATTTCATCTTTGCTATGTGTGTGGGGGGTGTGTGGGGGGGGAGCAGGGTTGGGCAAGGCGGACTGAGAAGAAGGGTGAGGCCACCGGGAGCTCCTGCTGGAGGTGTGTGCTTTGCTCGTGATCTCTTACGTTCTACTTAGAGATCCTACAAAAGCATCCAAGGGAATGAAAGGTTTGACTCGGGAGTCAAACCAAGCTTGACTTCCACTCTTAAGAAGAATTGCCCACCGCTTGTAAGCCTCCCTCTTGAAGGTGCCACGCTGGATCTTTAAGAGCAAACAAGATTGGCAAATGTTGACGGGACAGGAATGCTAAAGTCTTCTGTGAGACATAAAAAGGGTCGCATGATAAGGACTCCCCACCCCACCCCACCCCACCCATAAGATTTGGCAAAGTAGCGATCAACTTTGGAGAAGGAAAAATAAAGGGTGAAAAGAGCCAGCCTTACAACTGCAACTGAACAGAGAAGACGAAGCAAACGGAGTGGCCCTTGGGGGTGGTAGATGAAAACGTGTTGAGGGCAAGGGAAAGACACAAAGAAATACAAGCAATATTGTCCCTTTCCTGTTGCAGAGTACATACATACCCTACAGGCAGCATAGATGCAGTGGTGGGATTCAGCCAGTTCGCACCAGTTCAGGAGAACCAAGTTGTTAACTTTCTGAGCCGTTTGGTGAACTGGTTGTTGGAAGAAATCGTCAGGGCAGAGAACCGGTTGTTAAATTATTTGAATCCCACCACTGCGTAGATGGTAAGCGGGCATGTATCCCTTCTGCTCTCTGGGGGATACACAATCATGAACACAATCTACTGGGGTGTTTCCTTAAGAATCATCCCTGGTAGATTTTAAATTTTCCCAGCAAATGGAAGGATGGTCAGTGCAACCCTACCGGGTGGTGAGGGGACAGCTGCTGCGTTGCAATTTAGGGTGAGTTCTCAGGAGTGCAGGCAGTGTGGAGGGCTGAAATGCTACTGCACAGCCGAATAGCTTGTTTGGCGCTGGGGGAGGCCCAGGTCCACAATTAGAAGAGGGAAATGAGATCTTCCCCAGAGTCCCATTATTATCTTGGCATGGCTCTCCGTGGTGGGAAGTTGCAAAAAAAAAAAAAAAAAGTATTTAATCTGGAGATTTCAGATCAAGGGTGAGCAGTTGTTCCAGCCAAAAGAATTCAGCCTTTAGCATGCCAGCAACCATATGTAGAAAGTCAGGTGGGGCCAGGATTAAAACTAAATTTGATTTAATAACATACGTTTCAATTCAATTATATTTAAATTTATTTTAGTGAATATTTATAAAATGGTGATTCCTTGTCTTTTAATAATCCCACCCCCTTTGGTCATGTTGTACATTGCAATTTGGTGACAGCTGTTGGAAGAATCACAAATTTTGGAGACCACATGCCATCATTGTACCTCTTGAGCCGTGGTGGCACAGTGGTTAGAATGCAGTACTCAGGCTACTTCTGCCGGCTGCCTGCAATTTGACAGTTCAAATCTTACAGGCTCAAGGCTGACTCTGCCTTCCATCCTTCTGAGGGTGCTAAAATGAGGACCCAAATTGTTGGGGGCAATAGGTTGACTCTGTAAACCACTTAGAGAGGCTGGAAAGCACTGTCTAAGTGCTATTGACTGTAGAGTTAAAGCTTCCCATTGCACTCAGTTGAGGCCTTCAGATTTGCCCCAAACTTGGAAGAAGTCTTTCTCAAACAGACTCATGCTGGCTTGGGTCAATGGTAGGTGCAATCCCATTCATCTAGTGGTCTTAGGATGGAGTAGGCTGTTCTATTAGGTATCCTTTTACCCTGTACCTTGATTCAGCCTAATTTTTGCTGCTCACAGCCTGCAAGCTGAAACATAATTCCCAGGTGCAAACAGCTGTTTTCACCCCCTTGCAGCTCAAAAGCGGTCCCATATCTGTCTTTCCTCAAGGTTTATGCATCTGTGGAATCACGGGGATCGTCCTAGTTAAATCTGTTGCATTTTTTTTCCAGAACGATGATGGTGGACAGCGCTCCTTGTTGAACAAGTGGACGACGTTCCTTAAAGCCCGTCTGGTGTGCTCTGTGATTGGAGAGGATGGCGTGGAGACTTTCTTTGACGAGCTGCGTGAGCCCTTCTTTTGGACAGGGAGAGCTTTTGTTCTTGGGACAAGAGGGGACAGGGTTGGGGTGTAGGGATCGCGGTGAAGGCCTGGAAAATTGGGCCTTGATAAAAGAGGCGGGGCTGGGTTGTTCAAGGGATGTGTGAGCCAGAAATTCTGCCTAAAGTTTGGAGAGAGATTCCAGCTGAAGGGCTTAAAGATGGGCTGTGCTTAAGCAGTGACCAAAAAAACAAAAAAAAAACCAACACAAAAAAACCCATTGAAATCTAGCATTATGGCCATTTAAAGAGTATTTTCTGCCTTAAGTGTTGATGCTGAACTTCAAGCCAATGTAATCTAGCACCTGTTTGGATTTGGCAGTGTTGTTGGCCCTGGCCATTGTATAAACAGTCCCTGAATCTAGTATGTGAAATGGCCATTAAACACACAACACACACACTTATTTAAACATCTTTCTCTTTCATTTGTTTCTTAAAATAACTTTCTCGTGCAAGCTGGCAACTGGGAGCATTTGCAATTCCTAAACATCTGGAAGACTGCCAGTTGGGGAAGATAAGCCTCAAAGCATGAACTAGATCTGTCCATGCTGACTGGGGAACCCTGGGAGTTGAAGTCCATACAAATTCAGGTTGTCAAGGCTGTGAAACGCCGTCCCAGAGCTTTGCAGGGCAAACCTTGCACACACATCTCCTTCGAAGTGCTCGACTGGTTTGTTTCCTTCCCCCCAGGTGATGTTTTCCTTTTGCCGACCCAGGATGAGAAGCATCCCTTGCTCTATGGGGTCTTTTCCACCCTGGGGTGAGTAAAGCCCATGCGATGGGGTTGGGGAGACCCTGCGCAGGAGACCCTGTGCCTCACTTCCTCTGTCCTTCTGGCTCTGCCTCTTCTCCTCCAAGGTCAGTGTTCCGTGGCTCGGCTGTCTGTGTTTATTCCATGGCTGACATCCGCACCGTCTTCAACGGGCCCTTTGCCCATAAGGAAGGACACAACTACCAGTGGGGGCCGTACACAGGACGTGTGCCCTACCCTCGTCCTGGAGCCGTGAGTCTCAAACATCTTACTCTCCAAGTGTTCAAGGTTTCATTTCCTGTTTCCTCTCGCTCTGTAAACTCCTTCCAGTAACCTCTTGGCTCGCTCCCGATTCTGAGCAAAGCAAGCAGGAAAAGAAAACTGAATCCTAATTCTTTCATTTTTCTCCAGTTATGAGTTTATGGGATCGTTTTTTTCCTTTTTTTTTTTTTTTAGTGCCCGGGAGGAACCTTCACCCCAGGCCTTCGCTCCACACGTGAGTTTTCTGATGAGCTGGTAACCTTCGTGCGGGCCCATCCCTTGATGTTCCATGCAGTCTATCCCCTCCAGCGCCGTCCCCTCCTGGTGAGGACCAATGTCCCCTACAGCTTCACCACCTTGGCTGTGGACCTGGTGGATGCCGTGGATGGGCGCTACGAGGTCCTCTTCCTTGGCACAGGTATGTCCAGCACTTTGCAATTCCACCCGGGGACCAGCTCTCACTTTTTAGTTTCTACTTTTTAGTTTTGCTACTTTTTAGTTTCTCATTCTAAAAGGCAAAAAGACTTGCAATCTAAATTACGTTTTGATTCTAAATAATAATGACGAGAACAATAATAGAAAGTAATTACAACCAGACCAACAAATATATACCCAGATTCAGTTCACCCAAGATCAGAATAAAAGAAAACGCCCAATTAAAAATTACTAATTGACCAGACAGTGAAAGTTATTCCAACAGCTATGACAGGGTTGGCTTCTACATTAGCAGGTTGTAGTCAAACCACCAAGCTCATTATGGTAACTAAGTGGAACTAGGTAAGTTTTGTAAAAAAAAAAAAAATCAGTTGACAAATTGTAGAAAACAACATACGTTTTCCTTACCCAAATTATCATAATTTGGGTAGGAGGTAGAGAATTAAATTCAGGTATCCAACTTGATAGGATACAACAGAACGTGAGAACCAAGGACAGGGGCAAAGGGTATCCTGTGGAGGAGAATTGTTGCAATGTCTTTTCTAAAATCATAGAGAGCAAAGCATTGGAATTTGCCCGGGAGAAGGAGGCCGCCTCTGCAAGATGGATGGGGCGTTTAATGAGGTTTTTGGCAGGAGCAAAGGAACTTCTGAACAAGTGTTGGGGATAATATTCCAGGCACTATGGCTAAATAGACTATTAAGTGCTTCAAGTATAGAATAAACACTGAATTCACGTCTGAGATAAATTACTTTTTGCTCAAAATCTTCAAAAATAAATTGGGGCAAGAAAGGGTTTCAAAGCAAACTCTTATTTACAGGTTTCAAGGGAACAGAATTTCATAGAAGGGGAGCCCACTGTAAAATAGTCTCCATGTTCCTTTGCCCCCTCCCCATTTCAGATCATTGCTATTTAGAGAGGGGGGGGCTTTCACTGGCAAATTGACAGCTTTCCATTCCCACACAGGAGTGGGTTTTGAAGGTAAACAGCGCTGTCTTAATTCTCCTCAGAAATAGATCTGTCATATGCCCTTCACTGAGCAGCATAATCATTGTCTGATGAATGCTCCTATTTTCTCCCTCCAGACCAAGGTACAGTGCAAAAGGTGATTGTGTTGCCCAAGGAACAAGGGATACTGGAAGAACTGACTCTGGAGGAAGTTGAGGTGTTCAGGGTGAGCAAATAGACAAGCCCAGTGCTGACTTCCCCTTGTTATGTTCGCCATTTTTGCTCTTCTCAAGGTTTCCCCCCTCTCTATTGTCTCCTCATAGGTACCAGCTCCAGTGAAGACGCTGTGGATATCCTCAAAACGAGTAGGTGGTTGTTCAGGATATATATCGCAAGGAATTAAACAAGGCACAAATAATTACTATATAAGAGTTGGGGGAAGGAAGAATGCCTTCAGTTCATCAGAGGCAAAGGGATCTGGGAACAGTTGTTGAGTACCAAAAGCCACAGGTTTATCCCACTCTCCTCTTTTTGTAGCAACAGCTCTATGTCTCCTCTGACATGGGCGTTTCCCAGTTGACCCTCCACCGATGCCGGGAGTATGGTGAAGCCTGTGCTGATTGCTGTCTGGCCCGGGACCCCTACTGCGCATGGGATGGGCAACGTTGTGCCCGCTACAGTCACACAGCCAAAAGGTCAGTTTCCAAAATTGCTAATGCACGTTGCAGAGTTTGGAAGCAAAGCCAACCAGGGCCAGAATTCTGTGTGTGTGTCTCATCTCAGTAAAAGAGCCAGAATCATGTTGAATGGAGGAGGGAGCAAAACGAGCCCTTCTATCCAGTCAATTGCCTGTGAGAAGCAGCATGTGGCAGGACCAATCCTGACTCCTTGGCCTGGATTTTAGCGGTTCCGCCTGATCTAGCTTCATATTTTCACCGAGATGCATGCCCTATTGCACTGCCTGACGAGAACAGAAATCAGAGTCACTTAGCAGACAAGCAGAGGGTTAACCTTACAGAATAATCATGAGACAGACTTTAAGTCATGCACAGATAAACAGAGACATGAGTCAAGGCAGGTTTGTACACATGGCAAGAAAAATTGAGTTGGCTCAAGACAACAGAATTTGGAATCCGTCTACTAAAAGAGAAGGTTGAGCCCAGAAAATTGAAGAACTGCTTGAGTTCTTTTTCTTTTTTCTTTTGACTGAAATAGAAAAAGTGTGTTTGTGTGTGTGTATTTATATACTGTATCTCTACATATTTATAAATCTGTATCTCTATGTAAACACACACATACATACATACACAGGGTAACCCAAAAGTCAGGCTCCCCCAGGCCAATCAGGATATATTTTATTATTTTTTTCCCAGATAAAATTCTACTGTACTTAGGTGGGTTCCTTCATGAGCTGGCAGCAGAGGAAATCTTGGATTTTCTAGATTCTCCCAGCAGTCACAAATTACAGTTGCATGTATATGTGTGTATTTGGTGCAATTAATAACAGCAAGGCAGCATCACTTACCCCATTCCCTACCTCGTTCTGTTTTTCCATGCAAACATTGCTTGTGTACCCCTGTGGAAAGGAAATGCTAATTGAGATCAAGTTTGCCTGGAGAAGAAACAGGCATTGAAAGAGGCAGTTAATTTTCAGGTCATTTGGTCTACTGATGGAACTTAGTTTAGCTCTAAACAAACCGAGGTCTGTTTGGAGCCAAAATCAATCCTCTCTGGATTAATTGCCTCACCGAGTTTTCCTGTTTGCCTCAACTCTTAACCTTCCTTGGTTAGCAAGTGTTGTGAACAAGACCATTGTGCGTAAAAGTTGCTTGGAAGACAAGAGCATGGTGGCGTTGCTTTTCTGAAACTTACCATCAAGTCATAAAGAGGAAATATATGGGGAGTAATCGCATCACATTTGTTGGGAACAACGTATTTCCTCAGCTGCTGTGTAAGAGAGTGAGCAATGAAGGGTGTATCTTTTGTCTCTGACCAGGAGGAGCCGTCGCCAGGATATCAAACATGGCGATCCCCTGAGGCAGTGCCGTGGATTTAACGCCAAGGGTAAGTCTCTCCAGATCTCCCTATGAATGGACGTCAGTCTCTACTTGCCAGCCAATATTGTTTGTTTGTTTTTTAAAAATAATGGACACAGAAGTAATTTAGCAGCCTGAGAAACAGACTGGCATATGGGATGAAAAGGCACGTTTTTCTCACATCCCTTCCACGGGTTAGGATCTCTAGTGGTCAGCATTTTTGGAGGAAACACTGCAAAGAAGGCAGTGAAGTAAAAAGTCTAAAGAAAACTTAGCTGTAAGGTTGAGCTGTGCAACTCGTCAAATTTCCTTCTTAAATGAGGAGTAATGAGAAGGTCAGCAAACCCAGGTTACAAAAATGTTCACTAGATAACAGCAAAAAAGATTTAAAAAATGTTCATTCTTTGCACGTCCTCTGGATTTTTGCAGGGCACATCTGCAAAAGTTGTTTTAACAAAGGAGAATAGAAATACAGGTACTCCTTGGTTAACCACTGTAATTGGGACTGGGAACTCTTGTCGCTGAGTGACACGGTCATAAAGTGCAACATCTTATGAGTGCGCTGACTAACAGTGGTAGTTCCAGCAATTCCTGTTAGGTGAATCCCCATTGACTTCGTTCATCTACAGCTGGTACTGAAGGTTGCAAATAGCAATCACATATCCACTGGAGGGCTGCAATGGTGACTTTGAAGAACCAGCCACGGGTTTCCTTGTTCAGTGCTATTGTAACTTTGAACCCTTGCAAAACGAATGGTTGTTAACCAAGGACTACCTGTACAACCATTAGTCCATGGAAATATATATACCTGTTTTGCATGCCAGAAGGAATCTTGGAATATCTCACTTTAAGAAATATCATGAGGTCTACCATGGCAATGCAAGGTGGAAAGTTGTTGCCACTTAGTAGGCAATATTTGGCTGGGTGCACCAATTGCCTGTTATAGATTAGGAAGATTTCAATACTCGTGTAATTCTGAAATTGAAAAGTTGAAGAAAGATTGTACCTGGAACGTTAAATAGTATAATGGAGATTTATAACGTGAAATTGTACTTATTCTCCAGCATTCATGATTAAGAGGACAGCCTCATGCTGAGGCAGGAACAGAATTTAATTGACCATTTAGGAAGTTGGCTAGCTGTGAGACCCATTCTTCAATCTAGAAAGAGAAAGCAGGGTTGAGGCTTCTTTGAACAGGATAATAATTTGTAGGGAGTCGCAAAACAAATAACAGTTGGGTGGAGAAGGCTTGTGTTAACTTGTGTCACCAGCAGTGCAGGCTGATATTAGTGCAATATTATGTAAATACACATTATTAGCTTGCTTTAGTGATCGCAACTTAAGGAAAGGAGGCTGGAATATCAACACATCTGGAAGTTACTAGATCGGAAAATTAATTTAGTTATTGCTAGCGAAATTGTACAAGTTTCCTGATTCTTTCCAAATTGTTCATCTTTCTCTCTGGAGCATGGAAGTGTTGGGAAATAAGGAATTCTTTGGTGTTGCTGTTCTTCTACTGATGGCTAGGCACGCTAGAGGAAACAGCAGTTGGCTGGCTACTGGAACGGAAACAAGGATAACTAGCTTGTCTGATTGGCCAAGCGTATATTGGAAAAGGATGCGAAATTGTACAGTGGGAAATAAAGTTTATCTGAGTAAAAGCACTGCATTTTAATTTAGCTCTTCCTGTGTCCCCCGCCCCCCAAATGCTATTTTCATACATTTATTGAGAGCCGGATACATAGATTTTGTACAGCTATAGATAGCAGCTCCTTGACATTTACAACTGGAATTAATAATCTGAAGGCTTTCCTGCACTTGTATGTTAAGTAGTGGGCTCCTCCTGCTTGGTGAAGCTTGGTTACTTTTGGTAATGATTGTTCACTGTCTCCCCAAAGATAAGAGAAGATCAGACAATAATGTCTGAAGGGACCAGGTTGAGGAAAGTGATCTGTACGTTTTCATTGATGTCTGTTTCACAGATTTTTCTTTCCGTTGCATCTACCTTCTTAACTGCTTTTGGGGCTTTCTTGTCTTTTTAACTGTGTCACGTTTTGGGTTTTTATCTATTTAGGTTTTCTGAATACAGCACCTCAGTATTTCAGTTGGCATTGCTTCTCTCCCTAATTGCAAAAGTAAAATTGTGCAACAACATAGAAGGTGGTAGTGGATGTATCTATCGCTAGGCAGATACAAGGAAATCATTTTTGGGGGAACTGCTTGTTTGCTTTCTAAAGTAAATCATCTTGGTTATTGGCATAGTGAATTGAGAACTTCATATAAGCCATCTCTGCTAGTTAAGTGTCAGACGACTACCTAAATCTATAAAGGAAAAGTGAACCGTGCATTGTGGTGCAAAACCTAGTAGTAGCTCTAGTGATTCTCTCTCCGTGGAGCATCGAGTGTAGCTTCTGCTGACTTCAGGGTGACCTCTTTCAGATGCTTATCTAGACCAAGGAAGTTGAGAAACATTCCAGATGGTGTTTCTGTAGCCCAACCAAGAAAATAACATGAAGTGGACCTCAACACCAGTGCATTGTTTCCACCATCCTATTTTTTGATAACTTAATTTCCATGGAAATTGATAAAAAATTCTAAAACAAAAGGCACATGACTTCTTTCTTTAGGCTCCTTGGATAACTTATGAGCACTTCTGCAAATAAAAGGGCTGCGTCTATTAAACTACACTTCTGGATACAGTTTATAATTGTATCATGTTTTGAACAGAGCTCATAGTTTTGTGACTTGGCTTAAGAAACTCTTCCCTTAACCAAGATTGCATTTATGAGCTACTTTCCTGAAGCCAGCAGTGGCTGAATCCAAAGTCACAGTCCCATAATTCATGTTTCACTTCTCTCTCTCTCATGTCCAGCCCCATTGCACCCACTCTGCATATACAACTTCCCTCACACACACACACACACTTGCTGCCCACATACTCACATACTCCTTGCTCCCACCTTGTAATTGCTCCCTTGCACTGCTGATCCATGGAAAAAGTGTCTTATTGATCCACAAAGAGAACATAGTCTTTTTTTTTGTACAAGTTCCCCATTGTGCATGCAAGCCATCACACTTGGGCAATCCTGCTTTGTGTGGTAGAACCTGTATCACGTTAATAACCATTTTTTAAAAAAAAGAGGCAGAAAGGAAGATGTCTAGCAACAGACCGTATGCTCCTATAAGGCTGTAATTGTGGACATGCTCTCTTCAAACTGCTAGGGAAGGAAAAGGGGCCTGCTTCTAAACAGTCCTGGGTAGATTACATTGTTAATATCTTCCAGATGTTTTGGACTTCAACTCCCATCAGCCCAAGATAGCACAGACACCGGCAAGAGCTGTATTGCAAAAAACTTTTATTTTGTTGCCTTTGTAGTACTTGAAAGTTTAACCAGCAGCCTGCTTTGGCTTTGCACACATTTTTACAGAGGACAACTACCAGATTGTCCTTGCTCTGACCAGGACAACACGGGGGTGACAGGTATTTATAATGTCTACCGCATCCAAGGACCATTTCCTACTAATGCTGATTTTTTTTTTTTTACTGCGTTCAAGGTGGGAGAAATCCTTGAATTTTGTTCTCTCTTCCCTGGTAAAGGTTGAAAGAACATAGGTGGTACATTGTCATAGCATAGTACTTTAGAAATGAGTAAAAAATGAGCAGTCCTACTGTGTTCATTTTAGCAGAAATTTGGAGAGAGAGCTGCTGGGTTTCTTAGATTAAATATTTGTATAGCAACAACTTCTTGGAAGCCAGACTGGTGCTTAGCAGACTGTCTACTTCCAGCCTTTACTGAAATGCAGTGGGGTCTCAGAACTCAAGGAATGCTGTTCCCCTCCCGGCCCCCCTGCCCCCCCATCACAGCAGAACAGCAATTAAGTGAGCAGATTCAGTACGGACTAGAAGGAGGAAGTGTGTTTCTGGAGTGTGAACCCCGATCTCCCCACGCGACCATCAAGTGGCTTGTGCAAACAGACGATTCTACCAAACGCAAAGTGGTAAGTCCTGCTAAGCATTACGGCACGTGGCCTTATGCTGCGGGCGCAGATACTGTGGGAATTTGAAACCGAGGATTGGAAAAATCTGATCATATGGAGGGCACTCTTTTTAAGAAAACAAAATCTAAAAGTCACTGTCTCATGGTGGATGTTGAAGTTGGCAACTGAAACTTTGCCGAATTCACAAAACCTGTAATCAGACTCGCATACGCTTTGTTAGATCAAAACCAACCACATCATACAGCTTATGCAGACTAGGCCACTGACTAGTGAAATGGCTGTGTTAAGATGCGAATTGAAAAAGCAAAGTAATTTCAATTTATGTCACACTCTCTTTCCTTCCCCAGTTGCCCCGGGATCGCATATTGCTCCAAACACCTCAGGGTGTGCTTTTAGGCCCAGTGATGCCATCCGACAGTGGGCTCTACCAATGCGTAGGCACCGAGAATCGCTTTCGCCACACGCTGCGGCGGCTTCGTCTGCATGTCCTTCCCCGGGCTTTGCTGGAGGGGGCCATCACCTCTGAAGAGGCACCCACCCTGGGCATCTGTGAGAGCTACTGGCAACAGTTCAACAGAGCCCAAGACATCCAGCATAGCCAGAGCGGCCACCAGGCCCACACTGGACCCAGCCTGTGGAGTTCTGAACAGCAGTCCAACTGGGACAGAGCTGCTCAGCAGCACTCGCTGAACTGGACCACCAGTAGTCCCAATCACTGGCAAAGCGGCAGCACCAGCAGCCGCCGTCGCCCACACCACCACCGCCACCACCACCACCGCTCCAGGCCATGGGCAGGGCATCGAACTCCACCTCGAAGCTGAGCTGGATGGAAGACAGTGGGCAGGGAGAGGCTTTGACCTAATCTTTGGCGCGAGAGAATGACATTCCAGGGGACTCTTTTTGGAAGAGCTGAGTGGATCTAGAGATGGGGAAAAACCTCTTTGCTTCCTCCAGATTGAGGGGACAACACTATTGCTAACAAAGTGTGGGGTGCGGTGTGTCCAGGCTAATTCCAGGGTTTTTAGGACCAGGGCTTACCGGCTCTTTCCTGAAATGGAAAGCTGGCCAGTGCTAATTGCAAAGGCTTTGGCATTCTTTCTTTTTTTTTTTTTACAGTATTCATTCCCAATCTTATGCCATCCTCTCACATCATAGAAGGAAAACTGTGGGGCTTCCTTCAACATTAACACCATCATTTTATTAACCCTATGCTGCAGAAGCATGTAGCAGAAAATAAAATACCAGTTTATTTTCTAAACAAAATGGAAAAGGGCCGTTGTGGATTTGTGAAAGGAAGAACATTTCCATGCACGGTGAGCCCAATGTTACAAATAGTTTTAAGATCCAGCCTCGTCAGAATCAAGCCCTGCCATGAACCGAAAGAGGGCAATGTTAAAACGAGTTTAGTGGTTTATCCCGAGTACTGCCTACACCACAGGTATTTAACGGAACCCTTTGCTTCAATGGAAGTACTCACACCATTCCTCTTTTTGTCCAGCCTTAACTGAATAAGGAAATACAGAATATATGGGCTTGGTGATACTGTGGGCCCAAATGCCAGTCTATCAACTCCTTTTCAGTCAAAAGAAAGCAGGAGGCTTTAATCCATTACAGATGCTAGTTCAGGAAGTATATTTTTATGGCAGAAACACATAGGCCTTTATCTCGATTCCTTCCCCCTTTCTGATAATTTTAATAGAAATGGTTAAAAACCTTGCAGGTTATGAGCTCTTCCAGAATAAGAAGCAACTGATTCTGTATTAGATCAAACCAAATTTCATCTACAGTTGAGCCATACTCTGGGCCATCAACTCCCACTTGTAATACACATTTAAATTTCATTTACTTTGTTGATGGGTCTTACCAGCTTTATTCCTGAAGAATGTAATATTTTTAAAAAGCCATTGGAGTCAGGGTATGAGAGGGAGAAGTGGGGCTATCACTACAACTCACGGAATGAATTCTAGAATATGTGATGATGGGAAGCTCTTTCGAAGCTCTTTCCCAGGCTGCTTGGGATTGCATAATCTAAACCTAGGTGTCAATTTGGCTATTCCCTATTTATTTCTGCTATGCCTCATTTCTTAAATTTAACAGAGTATTTTGATGTCATTACTTGCATTTTTTCCTAGATAAATATTGAGTCATGGGAAGATACACCCTCTCATTCAACATAAGCTTTGGTATGAGATTTTTGTGAAAAGCATCTGAAAATTTCAAGTACACAATGATCTTCTGATGATCACTAATTTCACATTTGAGACACAGAATTCTAAGATTTTTCTCTCACAGAATCCATGCTAGTTCTTCCTCGGTTTGCCCAAGGTGTATTCAACTACCTTTAGTATAATAATGCTTTCTACAAATATACAGAAAATGCCACTTTTTATAAGTCATACATTTTAGCTCAAACTTTTATATTAAAATTAAGAAATCGTGGTTAAATAATATGTAGCCCAGTTGACATTAACAGTTTCTCCTTCAATTATCATGAGCCCACCGATCACCTCTACTTAGCATGTCTTTAAAGGTGCATTCTCCAAAAAGATTCTTAAATTCATCTGGAATGAAAACTGACATAATTCATGTTCTACTCACTTGCCTTAATCGTATTTCTACTTTTTTGTCTTCACCCACCACTGGTCCTACTACTTCTCTATAGATGCTTTTTCCCCCCCTGAAATATTTCAGGAAATTTTATTACTTTTCACTGGCCTGAAAAGTTTGTTCCTAATAGCTTTTTGTCACTGGCAATATATTATTTTTGCAAAAAATTGAAATTCTCTAATTATGTGTATCTAACCATTAGAGAAACAAAATAGAATTATCTACAACAACTATTAGTAATGTGAAAGGGCCATTTCACACTACACCTCACTGAGAATCATGATACAAAAATTCAGGTTTGAAACAAGGAAACAGATACTCGGGGCTTCTCATTACTCTATGGTCATGGCTCCTACATAGTAGGAAATTAGAAAAACAAGCTACAGTACTGACAATTATGTTGTGTGAAACTGGGCATGCTCACAACTGCCACCAGCAACTCTAACTGACCAGGTCGCCTTCATCCCAAGATCCAAGTAAATTTGTTAACCTCCAAAGTTTAATAATAATAAAAAAATCATAATACAATAAAATAACACACCCCTCCCTACCCCCAACATCCCACCCTTCTCTGCTGGAGAAAATAAAGGAAAACACTAAAAAGAGAAAGACAAAAAGTTTTTAGTGTCGGAGCCTGAGGCAGTATGGGGCCCATGATTTGGGGTGGGTGGGACGATGAGGGTGGAGTAGTGGCTGGAGTGGAACTAAAATATTCCTTGCCTTTTCCACCACCCTAGAGAATAAAGTGGTTACCACAATTCCTATAAAACCCAACAGGTACCAGGAGGAGGATAGGGGTGTGTCTAGGGAGAGCTGCCCCTCTGTGCAACAGGAGGTGCTGTCCCTGCAGGATTCAGGGAATGCTGGTACAAAAAGGAGGACACTCCTCTCAGGAGGAGGCCCCCCAACTCCTTTCACTGCCTGAAGCGAGGAGCTGGGCATTGTCCCAGCACATTCTACCACCTGTGCCGGAGCTCTGCAAGGCTTCGGGCCTTACAGCAACACGGTGGTGCCCTCAGTTGCTTCTGCCAACGAGAACGTGGGCCCTGCTTGTTGGTGACCCCTGCAATGCCTCCCCCTTTCCGTAGTATTGACAATACAAAAGGAGGAAAAAGAAAATAAAATATTACATCATCTGAAAAATAGTCTGATGCAGGGCCAGTGCCAAGTCCTGGGGGTGGGGGGGTAGATGCAGCCTCAACTTCTAGGGCTGGGTGCCTCCCCATGCAGAGTGCTAGTCAAGCCAACTGAGTGACCTGGGGCTGCCAGAGTCCCTTACAGTGCAGTGTAGTCCAGGAAGGAGAAATCCAGGCACCTTCTAGCCGTCACAACTGCCAGGGAAGATAATTGTTACATGTTAGGAACTAGCCAGCCCGTTACAAAAAGCCCTACCTGCCCGGTAAACACCCTAGGCAACTTGGTGGCATCCTCCTCCTTCCACTTACTCCAACTCCATTGTGGCTGCAGTCTGTGCCTGCTGCAGGGGGAGTGCCACCTTGGGACAGCACTGGGTCTGCCCCCCGGATCTTCTTTGGCTCTAATTCCTCCTTAGGCAGGGCTGGGCAATCACCACGCTCTGTCTTGCGTTTCCGCCGCCGCTCTGAGTCCCGGCCTCGCCCACGGGTGATGCGCCGCTCTGCTTGCTCCAGCTGGAAAAAGACAAGAACGCAGGCACTGAAGACCAGGCCCAGTCTTGTAATATATATGTGGCGTCATGTGGATGTATTTTATAAACATAATAATGTGGCTAAAAGGTATAATTACATACTCAGGGGTTGTTGTGTTTTTTTTTTTTTGAAGTAATTACATATTTCTGGCCATCATAGTTGCAGTTCTTGAATAAGAGGAGCATATGGCCGATGCAACCCCCACATCACAAAATGCTGAAAAAAGAAAGCTTGTATAACCAGAAAAACCTTTGCTCATTTCCCATCTTTCAATTTTCCATCCTTGTTTACTGAAGGCTTTAGTATTCTCCTCTATATAAGAACACAACAAAAATCTGTGAATTTACAGAGACACAGATTATAGCTACTGAAGAAATGCTTGATGTGGTTGACTTACAACCACAATTGAACCCAAAATTTCTGCAGCTAAAAGCAAGGCAGTGAAGCGAGTTTTGTCCCATTTTATGATCTTTCTTGCCACAGTTGTTAAGTGAATCACTGCAGTTCTTAAATTAGTAACATGGTTGTTAAGCGAATCTGGTTTCCCTGTTGACTTTGCTTGTCAAAAGGTTGCAAAAGGAGATCCCATGACCCTGGGACATTCCAACAGTCCTAAATACATGCCAGTTGCCCAGCGTCTGAAGTTTGATCACACAATCATGGGGATGCTGCAATGGTCGTAAGTGGGGAAAAAACCCAGCCATAAGTCACTTTTTTTAATGCTACTGTAACTTTGAACGGTCAGTCAACAAATAGTTGTAAGTCGAGGGCTAACTGTACAGTTAGAAAAGGCAAAAGGCTAGAATGCTGCAATTTTGTTTTTCTTTTGATGCTCCAAAGATAACAACTGCTGCAATTACTGAAAAATTTGTGGGGGGGGGGACCTTAAAAATTCCAAGTTTTGAAAAATAATCATCAGAAAGATCTTTAAGAAATGGAGTTGTTTCACATTAGCTGTTAGCATAGGAATTATCCTTTGTCTCTCTCAACCAACTTTCGCCAAGCCCTTCATACAGATAATATAACTTTTCAATCAAATGAATTCAGCATCGGGTAAGTGATATTAAAAAATCTGCATTCAGATTTCCTGGCTTGTACATCTGTCTCTTACTATAAAGCCATCACACAGGAAGGGGGGGGGGGGAAACCAATTTTCATTTCTGTACTCGATTGCCAGTTTTGTGGTAAAGCAGCCACACCTATTTACCTTTCCTGTGTGACACCAACTTCCAAAGAATCTTAAAATCTGACCCAGCTCCTGAAATACTAACAAAAATGCCAAATTTTGTGGCTAAAAATGCTCTACTGGCCTTTTCATTAGAGGCCGCTTTCACACCTTCACAAAGAAGACATGGAAACCCACACAAACAAGAACAGCTTGGAGTAGCTGCTGATTGTCAGAATGACACTCACATCCAGTAGCTGCTGGAATTTGTGAAGCTGGGGAGCGCAAGCAGCCTGTAGCAAGCGCCAAATGCTCTGGCTCTCGTCTAGCGTCACTTCCAGAAGATCCCCTTCCATCAGCAGTTCTCCCAAAGGTAGGCGGATGGCATCTGCCAGCTCTAGGACAGGGCCTTGCAGCTGGGGCAGGTAAGAACAAAGCATATCCAGGTCTGCAAGAGAAGCACAAAGGTACCCCAGTGTTAAAGGAACAGCCCAACTTCCTTATTTTTTATTTTTAATCACAGAAAAGGGAATTATCTTCCCACCAACAGCTGTTAGACAAGTCTCAACCCAAAGTGATGGGGTGGGGGTAGAAGAACAGTACCCAAGTCCATATTTCAACTCTCAGTATTTTCAAGAGAGCAAAGAAAACTGGCCAGTTACTTACTTAGCAAGACTTAACAATATAGGATTCTACTAGACCAGTACCTGAGGCACAGGAGCTGTTCTTCTCTGGAGTTGTGGCATCTCCGTTCTCTAAGGAAATCTGAGGGAAGGAAGAAGTATGAGGAAAGAGATTTTTGTGCCACAAATGCAATTTCCACATCATGCCCATCAGGACCCTACGCTGGCTCTTCAGCTAGTGGCAGGGGCATGATCAGGGGCAATGGCTGCATGTGGTTTTGTTAATGCAGAACAACAAAAACATTTCCTGCACTACACTTAATGGCAGCGACATCTCCAAGACAGACTGGCTGAACTGCTATGACGACAAGAAATATCCAGCTCCTTCAGAAATGAAACAGTGAGCAGCCAGGCTTCTTTGAGGGGGGAAAAAAACATTAAGCTCTGAAGAAGTCACAAGACTTTATATAATCTTGGGAAATGAATTAAGAATATAAAAGTCTGTAAATCTACAGAAAGGTTTGGAGGAAAAGAGAGCCAGGCTAGTACAGGCTTCAGGTGTCAGGCTAGACTAGAGAAATTCGGGTTCTAGTTCACCCTTAGCCACAGAAATTCCTGGATGACTATGCCAGGCCCGTTAGTGCTATCTAGCTCAAAAGATTGCTATAATGGAGAGCAAATAAAAAGAGTATTATACAGGTCTTGTGCCTATACGGAAAAGATGAGATATAAATCAAACAAAGAAATTGATCAGAGAGGAGGCAAGAAAAATGTCCTGGTGTTTAAGAATATCAACTGTAGGCTAAGGGGGAAGAGTCGAGAAAGAGCGTTTAAAAGAAAGCAGAACCAAGAAGACGGTGCTCTGAGAAACTAGGAGCTTATAAAAAAAGGGGGGGGGCACAGATCAAGATGCCTACAAGGAGGGAGAGGGAGAGAGAGAGAGAGAGAGGGAGGGAGAGAGAATTGGTCTGAGAAGCAGGAAATGCTGGATTTTGAGAAATTTTGCCAATTGGCAATTTCTATTATGAATGGAATAATGAGCCCAGCACAGTGAGGGCAGAATAATTGCAAGACTGTGTGTGTCTGTGGGGGCCCGTGTATGTTTATTTGGCTTTATGAGCTCATCTAACTTGTTGAGATGGGCAGTTGGAAGTAGTGCTCAACTTACAACTACAATGGAGACCAAAATTTGTTGTTAAACGAGACAATTGTGTTTTGCCTCATTTTATGACCTTTCTTGCCACATTTGTTAAGTGAATCATTGCAGCTGTTAAATTAGCAACACGGTTGTTAAGTGAATCTGGCTTCCCCACTGACTTTGCTTGTCGGAAGTTTGCAAAAGGTGATCAAATGACCCCGGGACACTGCAACCGTCATAAATTTGAGTCAGCTGCCAAGCGCCTTAATTTTGGATCACATGCTCGTGGGGGATGCTGCCAGTGTGAAAAACAGTCATAAGGCACTTTTTTTTCCAGTGCTGTTGTAACTTTGAATGGTCACTAAACGAACTGTTGTAAGTTGAGGACTACCTGTATAGAAATCAAATAAATAACTCAACCAATTATTTGACTTGAAGTAGAGATACAATGTTTTATATTGCAAGCACAACGCAGGAGTGGGGAGAGAAGTTTTCTCCTTGCCCGCTTTCCCCTACAATAAATGCTTTCGTAAAAGGAAATGAAGAGTTGCTTCAACTCTCTCTCCGGTTCTTTCATTATTTTTCCAAAAAAACCAAACCCAGCAGGGAGACTAACTTCTGCGAAGGGTTCACACTGCGAGGCCCTGCCTCAAATTCTGTCCTCAGGAAACAAGTGGGGCAAACCTGGCACCTGCCTTCCCTTCCCCTTGGAGAGGGGACCAGCCCTCCCCTCTTCCACTCACTCACCTTGGTTTGTTCGTTGCAGCTGCTCTCCTTGAGCGCACCTGCATCCTTGGCCGAGTCCCCAAGCAGTCGCTGCCGTAGCTCAGCTAAACACCCCAAGGCAGCAATTACATCGGAGGAGCCGAGGAGCTGGCGAGCACGGTCCTGCCACATAATGGCACGCTCGGTCAAGCACTGGAGGGCTTCTCCCTCGGGCAGCCGGACAGGAAGTTTCTGCAAAGCCACCAGCAAAGCCAGGATTGTCTCCAGGCGGGGCCGGCGGGACCGCTGGCATAGAGGACACAGGAATTTTGCTTCCCACTCCCACCATGCCGGAGAAGGCCGGGGGTTGCCCAGGTGAGGCCAAGCTGCACAGGTAGTGTGGAACCAGTCCTGACACAGTTCACACTGCAACATCGCAGGGCTGGGAGGCTGGGAACACACACAGTACTGGATCCCAGAAGGACTCTGCATGGATGGCACAGGCTTCTGGGTATTTGACTGGCGTAGGCGTAGGATCCCTGCTTTCTCCTTCTGTTCGCCTTCTTTGAAGACCAAGATCTGCCGGCATAAGATGAATGGTTGTGATTCTCTGGGTGCTTTTGACCCAACAAAGCTTTACACTACTTTTCCCTTGGTTTTGTATTATATTTTGTATTATATTGTTTGGCGCATTGCGAGCTGCACGGCATCGAGTAAAAAACTCCAATCAAGCAATTAACGATCAGCAAGATCTGTCACCTCATCTCCCAAATTCTTCCATCTGCGTGATTCTCCTAACAGCAATCTCTCCTCGGTGTGTAGTTTTGCCTCAGTCCTTCAAAGGCTTACAAATAGTTCTTGCAAAATGCTTAGCTGAATTCTCCCCTCACCAGTACCTACAGCTTGACCGTTTTACCAGGTTAGGAGCATTTTGTCTCGAGATGGGCAATCCGGCTAAGCTAGAATAACGCAAAACCAAGAAGAAAAAGCCCTGTGCTGCATTAGTCACAGCAACACCCCCGTGTTTCCTAAGCCAGCTACTCACAACAGAGCCAGGGTCCCTGAGATCCTGTGCGGAGAGGCCCAGTCTCTCTGTGTCTGAATTGTAGAGGCCTGGCTCCTTCTCCCGCTGCCATTTCATGCGTTTGACGCTATCGGAGTCAGCATCAGCACACGGGCACAGCACCTGACAGGAAGACATTGAAGAATGAAGCTTTCTGCCTCTGGGGGGGAGGCTTTAAATCCCCATCGTTAGCAGCTCAAAAAGCACCCGCTAACCTCAAGCAACGTGTAACAGGAGTTCTTTTTGAGAAAGGTCTTGGAGGCCTTTTCCCGCCAGGAATGTGCAGTAGCTACTTGTACTTCCAAGTGATGCAATTCCTCCAAGTGCACTGGCAAATCTCTCCCCACGGCCACAAGGCCCTCCAGGTCATCCAGGCAGGGATAATGGTCTCCATTCTGTGAAGAGGACACAGCATAGACTAGAGTACTCTGGAGTTGAAGCAGCAAGCTCACGTTCCCCTGCTCCCAGCCCAGGGCTACAGCCCACCTGGATCTCTTCCACATCAGCAATCCAAGCCTGTGCTTTAGACAGTGCCTCCTTGAGCGACAGGATATTGGGTAAGTGCACTGGGATGTTCTCTGCCTCCTTGATGATGGCCTCCAGCGTAGCTGGCAAATGCTTCTGCCTGCAAGACATCAGGCATGGGCAGGAAAATAAATGGTCACGGGGCATCTCTACAAAGCAATGCCTGGCTAAATTGGCATGAGCACCAGGCTCCCCACGATTTAAGCTTACCTAGCCTCCAGGCACATTTGCGCTTTTTCCTCCCAACGCTGGGCAATAGTGAGCAACTCCTGCAACTCAGCCATCGCCTTATCCACAGCAGGACTAGGGGCCACTCCACAGCCAGAGGTGATGAGGGCTCTCATGACAGACAGCGTAACCTTATCCTGGGGTGAACGCAGAGTCTGCTTCACCTCCTCCAGCCAGACTGCCTGCTGCACCTGCCTCTCTAGCAGCTCCATCTCTGGCACCTCCACCCCTAACCGTGTTCCTTGTGCCAGTAGTTTGTGCAACTCTGGGGAATTGCCTGAAAGGTCTTGTAGGGCCTCTTGAACTTCCACCTGGAAAGCTTCCACCTTCTCCAACACGTCCTAGAAAATGACACATGGCAATCACAGCCAACCCATCTGTGCAACCAGTGTGCCACCCAAACATCGTGCTAATTCTTCCCTTTATTGGGATTATCGATAATTGTACCATAATCCTCCGTTGCTCACCTGGACCTCCTTTATCTGGTGCATGACACAGGGCAAGTTTGTCATTTGCTCTAGGAAGGCACGTAATTCCTCTACCGTCATATGGACCGATGACTCTCTGTAAGTAAGGAGGAAAAAAGCGGAACATGTTTCATTATAATTCCAGAAAATAAATCTCAAAAACAGCTTGACAAGAAAATACCAAACAGATAAAGAGAACCCCATTAAATATGAGAAAAGACTTCCTGAAAGTATAATTACCTACCAGAAAGCAAAAGCAAGAAAGATACCCTGTTTCTCCAACAATATGGCCTCCCCCAATAGAAAGTCCCAGCATGTTTTATAGGCACGAAATGAAATTAAGCCCCCCCCCCAAATTAAGGCCTATATTAAAACATGCGAAATGGGGGGGATGGGGGGGGGGCTTGCTGTTAGGAAGTACTTTTGTTGCACACCCGGATAGGGTGCTGCCTGTGTTGACCCCGAGACGAAGTGCCCCACCAACGCCGAGGTCAACATCCAAGCCGTCGCCACCCGCCCACCCAAAGATGCAAGGGGGGGGGAATTAAGTCACCCCCGAAAAGACAGCCTAGCCATTTTTGGGGGGCTCAAAAAAAAAAAAAAAAAAAAAAAGACCCGGCCTTATTATATGAGAAACACAGGTAGTCTAAAAAGGGGGTAAAAGGCTTCACACAATGAGTTAAAAGGAAAGGATTCAATGTGGCATCTTGTCTTATCAATTCAATTCTACTTAAAACCGACTCTTTGCACTCACTCTGTTTCTTGGATACTTATCAGACCCAGGGCCTCTGAGACACACTTCTCTGCTTCACTCAAACAGGTTTTGAGCCGATGAAGAAGTTCATTCTCAGGGAAGTTCCTCTCACGTGCCTCCGATTCCAGGGCACGCAACTCCTCCAAGGCTGTAGAAAGCACAGAACACTGTGGCATCCAGACCCATCGGATTGGTCCAGCTGTACGAGCTACTCTCAACTCCCCGGAAGAAGCAAGGCTCTTTTTATCAATGACAGCCATTATTTCCTCCTACTCCAGACTCAGTAGTTCCCTTTCACCCAAAAGCCCCTTCTAGGACTCAATGCTGCTGTCTCCACTCCCATTCTCCCAAACTTTTAATCCAATAAGGATTCAGGTTCTCCTCACAACAGGCCTGAACAAATCTGATAGCGATTACATGGGGGCTCAAGGTATATGTGCATTTCCTCCACTAAAGCCTCAGGGATTTACTTCTTAAAAGACCCCGGAATCAAGGAGCACAAGGGTGGGACCACCTACTTCTTTTGCGTCCATCTTCCACTTCCAAAGCAATGCGAACTTTGTTGGCCCATGTGTCAAAGCATTCAGCCCGGACCTTCAACTTATGTAACATGGCTGGGAGTTCATCCAGAGTATACCGATACCTGAATGAGGAAGAACATCGAGCAGAAAAACGTAAACGTACTTCAGTACATTTTTCACAACATTAGCTTGTATTCATATGTATTAAGCTATACAGGTGGCCCTTGACTTTCAACAGTTCATTTAGTGACCATTGAACATTACAACGGCATTCGACAGAGAGACTTAGGACCATTTTTTTTACACTTACGACCACTGTAGCATCCCAATAATCATGGGATCAAAATTCAGATGCTTGGCAACTGGTTCATATTTATGACGGTTGCAGTGTCCTGAGGTCATGTGATCCCCTTTTGCAACCTTCTGACCACCAAAGTTAATGGGGAAGCCAGATTCACTTCACCACATTCCTAACTTTTAACAACTGCAGTGATTCACTTTAACAACTATGGCAAGAAACATCGTAAAGTAGGGCAAAACTCACAACAGCTGTCTCACTTAGCGATAGAAATTTCGGGCTCTATTGGGGGTTGTTACATGAAAGAACCACTAGGACAGCTCTTCCCAAATTACTCTGGACCAACTTGATTAAGGAGGATGGTTCTCTTTAACTAGCCCACTATGAATAAAGGACACTCCTGTAGGCTCAGGAGCTCTTGAGTCTACCCATGGTCTTCTTGTTGGCTGAAGACTGCAACCGGCTCAGAATTTTATTGTGGGGATGGGAAACACAATATACAAGGAAGATCATGCTTGTAGGTTAAAAATTATCAATATACTAATGATGCTCAGTTACAACTCCCTTCTAGGCTGATGCCACTGAGCTTCTTTCTCAGTGGATGAAGGTTGTGGAGGTCTGGAATGGGAATATAGTTTTCAATTTAACCAAGCAAAATATTGCTGCTGTGAATTTTAAGAATCCCCTGACCTTCGGGATTCTTTACCTCTTGTCCTGGGTAGGGTTACACTCCCTCAAAAAAAAAAAAAACTACTGCTGTACAATGTACTGGCCTCTTTGATCCTCAACTCGTGCCAAGGTGGCAGCCACGGGTAGATGATTTTTGCATAACTCCTCTTACACATCAATTGCACCCGTTTCTGGAATGGGAGGCTTGCTCATGGTCAATTCATGCCCTGGGCTATTCATATTTGGGTTACTGCACTGCACTCTACATGAGGCCGTCCCTGAAAAATCACCTGGAATCTGCAAATGGTCTTAAGTGCAGCAGTGTAAATAGGTATGGCACACGTTAGTACAGGGGTCCCCGACCCCCCCCCCCAGTCCATGGATTGGCAGCGGGCTGCGGCATGCCAGAAACTGGGTCATGCAGACAAGCAAAGCCCCATCCATGGGATGCAGGCAGCACATGAAATCATAGCTCCTCCGGTCTGTGGAAAAAAACCCTCTCCATGGAACCGTCCCTGGTGCCCAAAAGGTTGGGGCCCCTGCCTTAGTAGATGCACTAGGTTTGCAAGCTGCACTGTCTTGCTATCATAAGCGGAGCATAATTCAGGGTACGGGTTATCTCCGATGAAGCCTTCATTGCATAGGACTGGGTTATTTATGGGATCCAGTTATCTTTGCTTGGCCCAAGAGATCCAGCAGGTTCAGATCCCTTCTATGAAGCAATATCTCCTGACAGAACCCAGCAGGCAGGTGTTCTCTGTTGCAGTGCCTATCCTGTGATAAATGTTTCCTCCATGGTTCAGATGAACTCCACCCAGAGCCCAGGATGAGCCTCTTCAGAGAGATCCTACATGAGATATGTGCTGGTTAATCTCAGTTAATGCCACTGTTTTGTTATTCAAATTGTACTCCTTTCCATTCTATGCTTATTGTATTGTACTGTTATTTTCTAGTTCCTTTTTTATGGTCCTACAAATTGTAAGTCATCCTAAGTACTGTTTGGTGAAAGGCAGCCATATAAATCTAACCCAATAAGTGACTATATTTTAACTTAAGATGACTCATTCGTGGAATAGCCCATGTTTCTACTCACCTGAGGTACTGCCTGCTACTCGGGCACTTGCAGAGGTCATTGATGTGGTAAAGGCAGACAAGACAATTTGGACAATCGTTGCAAGCCAGCGCTGACAGAAAACAGGTTGTCTTGCATTTGTCACATTGGCGCTCATCATCTGGAAGCAACTCAAACGCCTCTCGCTCTGCTTCAGTGATTCCCTGGGGCAGCAGAGAAAAATCAATGAGCAGCTTGATCTTTCCCAACTAATCCTGGCTTCTGACAGTATTCACTTGCCATCTCAACCCACCTTGTCAAGAAGAGCCTTTCGCAATTTACGCTCCTCCTGGACCAAGATAAACATCTCCTTGTGTACAGCAGCAGCCAAGTTCAAGTCCAACTTTTCAGGGCAAGCAGCCATTTTGCAGATAAGCTCTTCATGAGAGAAGACACAGTAACGGCGAAGGCGTCGATAGTGCTCAATGCACTGGCGACCAGCTGGCAACTGAATATGAGGCAGAGGGGAAAAAAGAAATCTAGAAGGATATGAAGAATTTTGGTCCCGTGCACAACTTTTACAGCTGAGAACTAGGAACTGCAAACCTGATTCTCCATTCTTGACTCCTCTTCTGTGTCACCACTGTGGCCTTTTAAAGAATTATGAAAGCAAACACAAGAAATTCCTGCTGGTTATAAACTTACCCAATCAGCAGTGCAAAAGTTAACTGCTTCGGCAAAGTTGTAGCCCTGATTGAAGCCACTGTGATAAGCTCTAGGAAAGGTAATTACAAACTCTCCAGCACACTGATTGGTCCGGACGACCTATCGATGCAAGAAAAGAGAAACCATGAGAGTAGGGACTATACCTAGAGAAGAAAAAGGTACACCCAAGCAGGTAAAGGTGACTCACCGGGACGCCATGGGCCATGAGTGTATTAGGGTTCATGAGTGTCACCAACTGGTGCAACAGGTCTGGCTGGCTCTCAAAAAGCTCTGGGGTCAATTTCTTCATAACATCTTCCAGATGTTCAGCTGCAAAGGATGGGACCCCATACCAAGTCTTAGGTTCACCCCTAGAAAAATAAGCTTGTCAGAGAATACTGTCCAAAAAAGGGAGAGAAAATTGAAACACTGTGATAGGAAGATAATGGGATGATTCTTTTTTTTAACATTTTTTTTGTAACTGAGAGTTCAATTACACTCCCCTTAAATCAAAAGGGAGAAAATTTTTGCAATTCGGAGCCATACTTAAAGATCTCAAGGGCTTGCCACCAAATGACAGGAATGCAATAAGGGTCATTAAGGAATATAGATGTGATGCTGAAGAACCACATACTTTAAAAGGTTCAGTCATGTAATGCTGTACAAAATGTCATTAAATACAAACTTTCCTTTATTAGTCTTCTATTTCAATTCTTCTCTTGTACAAATAAAAAAATAACTGCCGTTTTGAAGTGTAACAATAACAACTGCTATGCTATTTTCATTTGTGGAACCAGTTATCACAACAGGTAGTCCTCGACTTACCACAATTGAGCCCAAAATTTCTGTTGTTAAGCAACACAGTTGTTAAATGAGCTTTGCCCCATTTTATGCTTTTTCTTCTGTTAACAGCTGTTAAGGGGACGATATGACCCTGGGACACTGCAACGGTCATAAATATGAGCCAGCTGCCAAGAATTTGAATTTTGATCACGTGACCATGGGGATGCTGCAATAGTCATTAAGTGTGAAAAACTATCCTTAGGTCGCTTTTTCCAGTGCTGTCCTAACTTTGGTCACTAAGCAAACCGTTGTAAGTGGAGGACTACCGGTACTTCACTATCAAAAAGCTGCTCTAGATGGCAGATTCATTTCCCTCCCTCCTGAAGTCTCACCAGTGGAGGTAGTTAATAGAGTAACTCCAGTGATCCTCAATGTGCCAGCAGAAAGCAGAGAAGACCATGCCCACGTAGAGCCATGGTACCTTCATGCCCGAAATATCAGCATTGATGTGGCATAGCACCGACTGCTTCAGCACTGGCATCACGTTGAGGTTCCAGCCGCTGGCTGCATACTCCTGACAAGGCAAGGCAAGGGATAAGGAAGAAGGTGGGCCCAACCACAACCGGTCAGCCTTGAGGGGCAGAACAAGAACCTCCAAACATGGGTAAAGGGGACATACTTCCTCCTCTGGAGACAGCTGCCTTTTGCCATCATTGATGGGGAAACCACTTCCAAATTCTTTGGAATGAATGTCAGCCCCATATTCCACCGTCACATCTTCCTCAATGCTATTCACCAAGCGCCAGAACTCCTTTTCTACAAGCTCTGTTGGCACCATCTGGGGGAAGGAAGTAGGAGAGGCTTGTCAGGATTAGGGACTCTACATCCTCAGTTACAGGATATTAGAAACACAGTCTGATGAAATTGCCAACAAGGGGATGTAAGGTGGAGGTTAAGAACAAAAAAGATCCCGATTCCAGTCCACACTTAACCATAAGCGATTTATCACTTCCGGTCACTCCACCCATCTCACATGGCTACTGCTGATAAAATGAAGAGATTGTTGTGTGTAAAGACCTTGAGAGCCTCTGGAGGAAAGATGGGACATTAACACAATAAATCAAACCACGGTTGGCACTATTTGTCTGTGCTCACAGCAAAAGAAGCAGAACTCACGTGGACTGGCATGTTGAAGTAGTCGGCCTTGAAAGAATCAGCCATCTCCCCAAAGCTCTGTAGTGTGTATTCCCGAGTGGCCTGCTCAAAGCCAAAAGCCTCTGGGGGACGCTTACACTCCTGGGAAAGGAAAAAAACAGGGAAAATGTGAGAGAGGATTCACAAGTAAGGAATTATTTTTGCCCACCTGTACTATAACAAACGGAGCCCATATCATGCTTTTGAATAATGGTGTGATCAATAGCTCAAATCTCATTCTCGGATCTCTCCGTAGCAGATCAAGTTCAAACCCAGATGACCTGGTGAGGCAAGGATGTTCCCCTGAGTTCGTCAAGGGCAAAACAAGCTTTCTTACCGCCATGACACATTTGGGACATCTCCAGACACCTTTAGGAATCTCAGGTAAAGGAGGCAAGAGGCAGAAGATGTGATAGTTGTCATCGCAGCCGTCACATAACAACAGCTTGTCATCCTCATCTCCCCGTGTACATATCCGACAAACGTAAGATTCAATCTAAAAGAGGAGCAAGCGTAAGAAATGCTGTTTTACACACAAAAGCAAACAGAGATGGTTTTGTTCAGCATTTTTTGAGAGTTGCCTTCAAGTATTGAGGCCAAATGACCATCTACAGGGGTTTTAAATATACCCAATGATTTCTTTTTTCAGGCAATGACTATTTCAAAGAAGGACAAGAAGCAAAAATTCGGCAGAACTATTATTTCCTTTCATGCATTTTTTTAAAGGAGGCAGAAGGCTGTGGTGTTATGACCGAGCTCACAATTGCCAGCTAGTCATTTTCATTGGCCAGTCTATATAACTGATAATGATTGGGGGGGGGGGGGAAGTTTACAAAAAAACAGAGAGACAGAGCAGAACCTAACCGAAGTAGAACACAAACTTACAAACTGAGTGTTGTGATTGCGACGGAGGCGCATGGTCATCTTGGTGCAAGGTTCTGGACTGTGTCTCAACTCTTCCTTCATATTTGCATAGCCTCGGGGTAAAGTGGGTTCCAGCTTCACCTCGGAAACAGGAGCTTCCTCTTTTACGATCACCGTTGGGGGGCACTCAGGCATCTCCTTGTCTATATGGTATTAGGAAGACATGAACTTAGAACTAAGAGAACCCACTTCTCCTTTGGCTCCCTAATTGTGGGGCTAGCCCTCCATTCCCACCTTTCTTGCGCATGTTCTTGTCCTTGGCTACAAGCCCCAGGCCCAGCATTTTAGGTCCAGCACCATAAATCTGCAGCTTCTTCAATTCTGGGTTCTTCTCAATGTCTTCCTCTGTTGGCTCTGGCTGCAAGAAAGATACAGTTAGGACAGAGTGACAATATGAAGCCATGAATATTAAAATCGTGTTCCAAAGATTCTTAGAAAGCAGTAGCAGCAGCAGCAGCAGCAGCAGCAGAGGGAGGAAAAAGAACGAACAATATAAATTGAATCCTGGGGAAAGGAGAACTAATTTCAGAAAGATAACTGGTTAATGATAGACATTGCTATGGTCGTGACTGAATACCTATGACAGAAATATTGTCTTGTTTTGGAGTAAGCCTCTGGCTAGATACACCAACAATGTGAGACTTTCCTAGAATGCATTGCACACCACAATAAAACAATGCACATGGAGGCATTTAAGCCACGTCTCCTGCTGGACAGAGTCTGAGGGCTTCTAGCAACGAAGCAGGATAAATAAATGGAGTGAAAGAGAGACAGCAGAGGTGGACAGAACAGGAACAGTACCCATGCTTGATGTGCTCGCTCAGGTAACAGAGCTGGGGAACTCGCAGATTCAGGGAATGAGTCGGATTCCTGCAAGAGGGCGACAAAATGTGTGGGGTGTGGGGATCAACAAGGCTCTAGGAACGGTAGAAAGGGCATCAAGAGAAATAAAAGGAGAAATCATTATTGGATCATAATGAAGAAGCTGGAGTTGCTAAGAATCGAGTGAAATATAAATGTAATGAATTAAATTATTAGTATTATTATTAAAAGTATAAGGACTATGGTGTTTGACAACGAGAGCTAACAAATGGAAACGTTACAATAAATACAGAAGGCATGGGATTTAGGACTTTCAAAATAGTCAACATTTTAAAGACAAGAAAAAGCACAATGACGTTTTATTTCCTATTTTAGAGAGGAAGAACAGAAGCATGAGGGAATTCGAGAACAAAGAAAAAACTTGAAAAATCACTTTGCATATTGACTTTCCTCCCTTTAACATAAATTAAAGAGTTTGGTCAAGCTTTTCGGTAAAAGCTTTTGTAGAAAAGATTGGGACTCTAATTCACTTTCATGATTTGGGGTATGGAATGATGGACTCAGGGGCTACAAGTTAAGTTTCAGATTTTATGGTGAGGATGCACCACCACCCTCAGTCTTTTACTGGAAGTACACGTGGAGACTAAGCTCCAGCTGCACATTCCTAGCACGACACTTGACATTCTACTAAACCTTGAAAAACTACTAATTGTTTGGAATAATTAAACAAAATGCAAGACTATATCTTTATCTGATCTTTGAAGGCCTATGTCTGCATCCTTGAATTTTATCAAAAGACTTTTACCCATTGAATATATAATTAACAAGATTCAATGTTTCCTTAAACGGATGCAAAGGGTGTTTTTTTCCTTTAAAAACAAATACAGACACAGCCATAAGCTCTTACATTCTCCAAACATTTGATGAATAGCAACTAATCAAAAAGGCTTACAATTAAATTGTTAAACCATAAATATGAGTAAGAAAGGGGAAACAGCATTCATTACGCAAAAAAAAACAACACCTTTATACATAATTCCAGGCTTTAATCCACCATGATGTTACTTAAGTTTGTGAAGATCAATTTGATCCTAAAGTGAAATGCCAGGTGCCACATGTGACAAAATCTTGTTTTGATTTACATTTAATATGGAATTATTTATATTTATTCAATGTTTATATCACTGACCGATGAAGCCTTTTTGTAATTAAGAAAATCAAACAAACAAAACATAAGTTAAAACCAAAAACATTGAATGTGTATTAATTCTTCAACAATTAAAAACCTATTGAAAAATACTGGTTTTAAATGTCTTTTTAACAAAACAAGGAAAAGGTTAGTCCTTCCATTCAACAGTGAGCACGTTATAGATTTGGAGTGGTGGACTTCCAGGGAAGAAATGGCAAACTGAAGGAAAGGACTTTGGATTGCCCACAAGTACTCCAGATAGTTTTACTCCAAGGAGACTGTATGACAACAGGCTCTGATGGCTTTATGGGAATAGCTATCTTCCTCAACTCAGGGATGGTGCCTTTGAAAGGACACTATGTTCACATACTTGCTGTTGTTTTGAGTATTTAAAAATATATGATAAGATACAATTTTGAAGGTTGAATACTAGAGGAAACCCAAGAGAATTAAATATTATAATCAAAGGAAAAGACACTTAAATTTGACTTACTAATAGGGAATGGAGCAAAATATGGTACTTTAACACTGGATGTATTAGAAGATACTTGTGAACAAGGGATCCAGAAGTTAATTTTAAGAATGTCTGTCTCTATAGACAGACTTTGTTTAAAATATGTTATTTTACTGGATGGGACTGAGACTAATTTGAAAGTAATAATGTGGAAGATGGTACACTGGATATATAAATGAAATTTATTAATGTCTTAACAAACCAAAAATGCAATCTGGATGACTTTTTCTTATGCTGAACTTACAAAAGAAAGTTTTGTTCAAGTTCTGAAAATTTTTATGAGAAGGGAGAAAGAAAAACTTTGAACTTGATCTCTTCTAAGAGATCAAGTTCTAGGATATTGTTTAAGGGAACTGAGGATCAAGATTATCAACAGTAACAGGAAAGAATATAAAGTTGGTTATCTGATTAAGGTTAAAATAGATATGGTTTTAAATATTTGTTTACAGATTAAAGATATGGAAGAGACCACTGTTATATGTTAAGAAGTAATAAGTTACCAAAATTGTTTTTCCTTTTGCCACAAAAGGGCTTGTCATTTCTTTATTCATCTCTTTAATACATTTTTTCTATTTTTCTTTTTTTTGTCCCTGCACTTTCTATTTTTTCTTTTTATTTGTTTATTTTTTTCATTCATATTAGTTTTTATCTTTTTAATTGTAATACACAGTAAAACTTATTTTTGAAAAATGGTTTGGAGAGCTACACCATTTGAGCTTAACCCTCAAGTCACCATGACAGAAAAGATGAATACTATGCAAATGTCTTCAGATAATTTCAGGGAGCGGGCGGATCATACTAAACCATGGGACAAACTACATGAAATATATTTAAAATGATTATACCTTATATATTTGAAAACTATCCTGTTGCATTTAAAATCATAATTTGGGGGAAACCAAAGAAGATTCCCAGTGGCCAGTTTCTAAAATTGAGGAAGGAGGTATAAGATGTGCTCTTGGGAGACAGGGGTTGCATACACGTGGCCTAATAATTAACATTCTAGCAGGATGAAGCTTCTTTGACATTTAAATGGTTCTACCCCAAACCCGAGGAAAAATAATGCTTTCCGTTGAGTCAGAGCACAGGGTGTGCACAATTGCCCTCAGAATTATGAACTGGTCCAACCAAAAACAAAATTGTAATTAGGGTTGAAGGTGTATGAGACACTCACCTCCTGCTGCAGTCGCTTGGCCCGCCGCCCATAGGTGTTGAACTTGGAAGGCTGCACTGACTGGCGCAACGGGATGCTATGAGGCTTATACTCTTTGTCTTTCTCTTCATTATCAAATGGGTGAGTATTGCACTGCTGGGAGAAAGGAATAGCATTAAGACTGCTCCTGTTGCTCAGCACTAGGGATTAAAAAGCAAAGGCAGAACTATCCCACGGCAGAACAAAAAGCATTATGAGTTTAGATATGATTTTCCTGGCTAGGCATGAGCCCCTGCCATCTTCCCTATGCTATTTCCTTCCCAGGGGAGGAAATAATGTCCAGGGGGAGTCTATTTAGAAAGAAGGGTTTTCTTGTACTCATGTACTATGTCTGTGGAGGAAATGTAATATGAAGTTAAGTTACAGGAGAACTTTATACTCTGAGACCCAATACTCACCACCAGGTTAGCACCAGACTGGTACATTTCATATGGGTAGATAATACGCTCATAGTGGGAACGAAGGAGGGAACCAATATTCTTTCCGGATGGATAGGAAAGTCGCTGGGCCACCCGTGCCCACCGGCGATCCTTGCAAATGGCTTCATATCCACCCTCCTCCATCACAATCTAAAAATACAGGAATATTGAAAAACTACAAATTAACAGCTTGCAATCACATGAACATATGCCTATTTAAATAAAGCACTTGATTTTCCTTATCCCCAGTTCCAAACTAAGACCAACAACTTATCCAGACCCATCAGTGGCATAGATGAATCTTCACTGAATCTGCTGGTGTCAGTTAATAACCCCATTAGCTTGAATAACTTTCTCTAAAATTCTTTTTGGGAAGAATGTAATTATAACTTACTTTACTCAAGCTGTACAAATCAAGGATACGCCTCTCTACATTGGGAATTTTCAGTGCAGAACCTTGAATCTCCCAGAACTTTGCAATCTGGTCTAAATAGTTCAGTTTTACTCTGGTCTGTGCCTGGTAATGGAATAAATTGAGGTTAGCCTCTCTCAAGCCAGTAACATGTAACAGCTTCCCATTTAACCATGCATCTTTCAAATATATCTTCATACCAGCAACACCAAATTTTAATGAAGTTGTAAACAGTATATATTCACACACTGAACTGGTTTGGAATCGATTTCCTGTAACAGGAGCTTATACAGTTACACATTATTTATCCCACGAAAGTGTTTTCTTTGGCTGGAGGGGTAGGGGTGGCAAGAGGTGAGCAGGGCTGTACTGGTAGTGCTGAGCTGGCATGTACATACATACGCAGCTCAATTGCGAGTTGAGCTGTGTCTACATACCCTTGCGCGCGCCTGCTGCTCACTTGAATGAAGCTGCACGCTCACATGTACTGGTCTGCAGCCCAGCTGCATAGGTCACAGCCTAGTAGTGGGTCGCAGCCCAGGAGAGTTGGGGACCCCTGGTCTAACATACAGTGGAGTCTCGGGTCGTGACCGTAATCCACTCCAGGATTTCGGCCGCAACCCAATTTGTTCGTGACTGAAATGCACGACCATCTGTGCATCCGCGGACCAAAAAAACACTCCCAAAAATGGTGCCGAAGGGGAAATCGGCGTGGAAAGGGAATCTTTCCATGCCAATTTTGTGTGCCACCCAATTTTGGAATCGTGACCCGATTCAAAAATTGGGTGGATTTTTTGTTCGCCACCCGATTTGGTTGCAAACAGAAGCATTTGTGATCCAAGGTTCCACTGTACCTCAAAAGGATAATATTTGGAGGATAAAAATGGAGAAAAGGATTACAGGATATACTGCCCTGAGGAAAGGTAGGAAATTAATCAAACACACAGGAATACATTCATCCTAAAAAGATGCTGAGCTTCCTCATGATCATTTTAACAGCAAATGGTCATTCATGGGGATGCAAATTTATTTAAGAGTACCAAGATACACACACTCATTTCATATAAATACAAGTCAAAAGGTTCATGAATACATTTTGCAAAAAATCCAGTCAAAAATATAAAAACCTGGATAATTAAACACATGAGGGGGCTCCTTTGTGTTCTCTGAGCTTGGCTGTTTTCTTGCAGACATTTCAGTAACTAAACTAGGTAACATCATCACTGTTACATGAGTATCTAGAACTGATATTATCTAGTTTATATAATAAAATGTCTGCAAGAAAGCAACCAAGCTCAGAGAGCGCCAAGGACCCCTCATTTCAACCCTGAGAACTACTTTGAAATAAATCACAAAACCATTTATTTATGCTTGTATAAACAGGCAACTTGACACAATTTTTGAAGTCAATTCTTTCAATGGCAGCCCAACACAACCGCTGGACAACAGTTGATTAAAACTAATGCATGCTATTTTTTTCATTATATACCACTATATTTTTATATTTATTATTTATTGGTACTCCTGATATCTTCTCTTGTAAAATTATTATTTAATTATCCTGTTAAATGTAAAGAAATGTGAATGGCATTACATTACAATTCTATTAAGTCTCCTACAAAGGACTCACCTCCAGTTCATTGAGCCTCTGTATCCGTGGAGTAAACCGGAAGTTGTCCACTTCCACAGCAAAGGGAGGTTGCCAGTCCTGAGAAAGAAATAGAAAGGTAACATAAGTATAATTCCAGCATCATACATTTTACCAGCTAGTAAGAATTAAACCAAAAATCTGCCCTCAGTCTGAAAACAGCCCTAGAGAATCAGAATTAAATTTCATAGTTAACAGAATATAAATCCAAGAGTGGATTACACAAACTACTACAGGACAAACCAATGAAAGCTTTTAATTTTGCAATGAATGTGATATTCGGTACTGAAGAGAGAGAGAGACTTAAGAAGGTAAAACTGACATTTGAAGGAAACATAGCGAACACCTAATAAAATAAGAGCACACTAAGCAAAGCGTTCATCTTTACTGTTTATATACAGGAAGCCTGAGAAAAAGGAAACGTTAACTATTTAGATTAAACAATCTAAAATATTATATCCCAAGGCATTACACATTCAAAATCTACTGTTCTGGTACAAAGGAGTCACTTCAAAGATGGAGTAACTATCATCAAGAACAGTTGGAGACAGCAAGACAGAGAAAGGCCACTGAAGCAAAAGTTATTTGTCCATGTGTGAGAAAGACTAACTACATGGTCTCAAAATAAACTTTACCAGAAGGGAGTCAAATTGACTATGCAAAATTTTGTTATAAAAGAAATCTAGATTCTAGATTTCTAGCATCAGTTAGACCTGGTGAACTTCATGAATGTATGTATATTCTTTCTCGTATTTTTAGTGAAATATTAATTTGTATTAAATTGAGTGATTAAGTTGGAAAAACCTTCGCTTCTCAATTTAAGAGCACTTTCACTTGGTGGTAAATTGTATGTCAAAAGCAAAAATATGTCAGAATTATATTTCCTTTTGTTAGACACACTGAAGTAAATTCACTGTCCAAATCAAAATAAATTAGGAAATGATAAACAGTGCATCTTAGAACTTTCAAGAGAAAGGAAAAAATGAAATATTGCTAACAGGATAATACTTTAGCATTATAATGCTTAAGACTCACACCAGCAAGACAGGTTCTCCTCCAACTGAATTGTGACAGAAGCTTTGGATTTGGAGGCTGCAGACTAACCTGAACTATAATTTACAGCCTACAGAAAAAAGCAAGATTCATTTAAACACTCCATATGCACTGGGTAAGCAGATGCTAATATTTTGCTGCTCTAATTAAAAATATCACAATGACTTCTCAATGAGGATTAAAAAGATTGGCAGAAGTGTTTTTTTTAATTGGGGCCAGAGAGCAAGAGATCTGCTTCAGCATCTTCTGTACTGTAACCATACAAAAGAAAACCAAGTTCCTCAAATATTTCCTAGTCTTTCTCTTGTTCCTTTTTAGACAAAGGCTTGGCAGCTGGCAGTCATATTAGATGATCTGTTATTATGAAATAATAAAAAATATTATTAAATGGATTTAAGAAATACAGCAGGAAAAGACTTGAAAAACCTCTTTCCTGCTATACTTAATTAGAATAGAGGGTTTTCTTTTCTTCTTTTTGCCTGCAGCCAAGGCCTAGCTGTGGGGTGTAGAAGAATATAAAAGAAATAGGACACAACCCATACAAGTTTTCCAGCTTGGTGAAAGAGCAAGCTGTTCAGAATGGTAACAGCTACATGCCAACACAGGCACCACCAGTATCACAGATAAAAGCAATGTCCATGCACAAAACTATATAACTTGATTGTTCAAATCTCAAAACTCTTATGTGCCAACCATTCCAAAGAAATCCAGTCCCTGTAGTATATACTTTGCCCCATTTCCCATAATGCATTCAAATCTATAGTTGAGTGTTGACTATACCACACATTTTATTTTTACATCACATCAACCGCTTTCAATACCTACATTCAACTTGGGAGCCACCTAAATGATTCAACCCTCATCAATTCCATAAAACAGTCTTTCCCAACTCGGTGTCCTTCAAATATACTGAACTACCACAATTTCTAGTCAGCAGGGCCTGCTATGTAACTTCTACCACCCACTCTATTTTGTCGTTGAACCAGGCCTGTGTTCAGCTATTTCTTTGAAGGCATCACAATAGTCTTATTCTTCCACAGAAACACTGCATTTGTATCAAAACTCACTCAATACTATGACTGTCTCCAGTAACAAATGATGGCAAGAGCTCTTTCCCATCTAAAGAGACACTGGTTCAAGTCTGTAACCCTCATCCTGGCACACAAGCTCTCCAATACATTTCCTTCCATCCAGTTCATTCTATTCACCAGAAGAGACATCTTTTCAAACAAACATCACCGTCTCTAACTACCTGTGAATCACTCACACTTACACCCAAATACTACTTCTGCTTGCCCACTGAGTGTTTCTCCTAAAACCCAACAGCCCTTTCCCTGGTACTTACGGCGGGAGGGCGGATTTTGCAGATACCGCTTTTTTCTGCGATGGGTCGGATCTTGGCAATGTAGCCCAGCGGATCGCTGAATTCGGCCCAGCTGGGCTCAAAGACAGGACACTCGGGTGGCGGCAAAAAGTCCTCGGGAGGCAAGAGGGGGTCGGGATCTCCAGCCCAGGACGGACCGCGGTCCATCCACTCGCCGGGCTCTGCGCCCCACAAGCCGCGCTCCGCCTGCTCTGACGCTCGAGGCGGTCGGAGGGTTCGATCAGCCCGGGGAGCCCCCTCGCCCTGTTCGGCCTTGTCACTCCGGGGAGCCCGCTCACCCTTCACAGTCCGTTCACTCTTCTCCATCCTGGAGCCGCGCTCTCCCCAGTCCCCATGTTCTCCCCTCTCCCCTGAAAGGCCACGTTCCCCCTTCGTCCCCCGGCTCCCCCTCTCCCCACGGGACACCCAGTCGCCCTGATCCCCGAGGGGGCCCTTCTCCCCCCAGACCCCTTGATCTGACCCTTCGCTCTGCTCCACCTCCTCCTCTCTGGACTCCATACCCTCCACCGGCTCCTTTGCTCTCTGGGAGGCCCCTCAGGGGGCCATGCCCGGCCCCTCCTCCTCCTCCTCGCTCGAGCACCAGGCCTAACGGGCGGGGGAACAAGGCCGTTCAGCCGGAGCTTTTCTCCCCGGTGCCCGGTTGCTCAGCTTTGCCCCTCCTCCTCTCTGGAACCTCCCGGCACTTTTCCGGGCCCGGAGTCCCGCTAGTTCTCTCCCCTCCCTAAATTCAAGGCCTGCCGGGTCCTCTCGACCTGGCAGCCGCCGCCATTTTGGACTTTCTCAATATCCTCCACAGCCGCTGCCCATCAACAACAAAACGTCTTCCTCCGCCAGCCTCCAAAGATTCAAAGGAACCTCTTGGAAACGTCACCACACCGGGCTACAGTACTCTTTCCGATACGAAGACTGCAACTTCTAAGTCTCATCAAAGACCGCTGATTTAGGCTGGAAGCTTTAGAAACAAAATCAAGCCAAATAAAAAAGTCCCTCAGGTCCGAGGCGGAAGGATACAACAAACAAGAGAATGTAATCGCTGGAACTTCTTGCGCACGTTTAAAGGGCCGCACCGCGCCTGCGCCAGACGACAGAAAACAGGAAGAGGAGGAGGGGGTGGGAGGAAGATAAGAAGAATTGAATGGGCGGAGTTAGTCATAACACCGCCTATTCGGTTGTCAGAACTACAGAGGGAGCCTCGTAGCTGTCAATTGGTTTGGCTCAATTCAGACTCCTCGCCACACTACATCGTGGTGCCATTTGATCTTATCTATGTAGTTTGTGATCTATCCGTGGCAAGGCTAACGGTTGAAGCCTCGCTCCTTTAAGTCTATTGTTAAATTCACTTTGTTCTAGTAGCAGGTTTATTTAATTTAGTTTTGGATTTCAGCTTTCCAAATACTGCTGACTGATGGATTATGGGAAATAAAGTCTAACATCTAGATTGATGAAGACTGCTCTATATTGAATATACTATTGCTCACAGGTGATTATCCAAAATCTTTATGCAACAATGTTTTATTAATATCAATTAAAATTATAATGAGGTAGAATGAAAAACATTGTTGCTGAGAGTTGATAAAAGTCTATAGCAGGCTGCACTCAGATTATGTTTTGAAGAGCCTTTGGACATGTAAAATGAGACATAGGTTACAGAGGCAGTATTAAACTGTACAAAAAATTCCACAAACTTTTGTGTAAGGAAGAAACAATCTGAACTGAATATTTCCTCAAATGAAAATCAGTTATACATGATACATTACGCGTAATTTAATGTTTACTAAGGTAAAAGTGAATAGTAATATGCAAGTATATATTCTACCATAGTCCACAACTTACAACCTTTTGTTTAGTGACTGTTCAAAGTTACAACAGCACTGAAAAAAGTGACTTACAAACAATCCTCATTCTTACTATTGTTACAGCATCCCATGGTCATATGATCAAAATATGGGTATTTGGTAACTGGCATATAGGTAAGAGCTTCCCTGAGTGATGTGATCACCATTTGCAGCCTTCCCAGCCGACTTCTGACAAGAAAAGTCCTTGGGGGAAACCATATTCATTTGACAACTGCATGATTCATTTAGCACTGCAGTGATTTGCTTTACGACAGTGATAAAAAAGGTCATAAAACTCACATAACAACCATCTTGATTAGCAACAGAAATTCTGATCTCAATTGTGGTCGTAGGTCAATAACTGTATAGTATCATGTTACTCCTTTGGAGGGTAAGTAACGTGTAAGATCCAAAAAAGGTATAGAAAGCAGCAAGTAAAAGTAAGTACAGGCAGTCCTCAATTTATGACCATAATAAAGCCTGGCAATTACAGTCATAAATCATGAGGTTCGTAAAGCAGGTCATCATGTGAATGGACCCAATTTAAAAACCTTTTTTGTGACAGTCATTGAGTGAAACCTATGGTCATTAAATGAACCCATTGTTCATTATGGGACCTTTTCCCCCCCAGAACCTAGAAATAAATGTTCCTTTCCAGAAAAAAACATAAATAGCAGTCATGGGGGTTACTTCAAACAGTCATAAAGGCAGATTTGTTGCCAAATATCCTAAATGTGGTCTCACTACTGGAGGCAGGCATCATAACTTCAGAACCAGGTCATAAGTACTTTTGGGGGCGGGGAGGCTAGCTAGAAGGACATGCGAGAAAAGGAAAGCTAGCAAAAATTAGTTTATATTCAGCACATTTCACTTTAATTCCCTATCTTTGTAAACCATACTATCTTCCAATACATCTGTACCAGTTTGTATCTTGCCAGTATACAGCTTCCCATCTCTTTTGGGGTTTCTCAAGGTATTTATCTAGTAAATATGATTAACTGTGTAATTTGGCCCACAACTACTTTTTATTGCACTCTTTTCTGCTGGATTTGCTGCAACTTTTCTGCTGACTGGCAAATTAGTCTAGGCCTGGAGTACCAGATCTGCGCTGGAAACCTCCAAACACCAGAAAAGTGGTACAAGAAACATCATCTTTATGGTCATGCACATTAATGCAAGCCAGGCCTGGCATCCTTAATTAGTTGTTGACTACCAAGAGAAGAAAAACCTTGAATCTTCCAGCCATGCCTAAAATCTTCCCCTCTTTGTGTCCCTGTTAATGCAGGAGCAGCTCTGCTAGGAGGCCACTCCTGAATGTAGCCTCATTTTCCTGGAGGACTAATGGTGGCTTAACCAAAAGAGTTGCTTTTCAGAGTGAGATGGGCAGCGCACAAATATAATAAATAATAATAATCTGCCCCATTACACCGGATTGAGATGTCACGCTGGGTTATGCTTAAGGTAAACAAATCAAAATCAAGCTTAGATGTCACACTAAATGTGGCCCCAAAAGGTTTAGGGTTTAATGTGAATCACTGATTGCATCTATATGTTATGCAAAGCTATAGTTTATTTTAACCATGTTGTATTGAATAAGCCACAGTAGTTAAGGTAACACATAGTTAACTTGTTTAAACTATGTCTTAGGTTGATTTAAAGATATGGGGTGGCAGCATTGGTTTCCTGAGGATAAAGGCTGATCCTCCATAGTATACAAACAATATGGATTTCTCCAACCCATATTTAGTGTGTTATTTGTATTTTCCCCAGGCAAACACTCTTCTCTCAACAAAGATGAGACCCATCAAAAAGAGAAGGCACCATATAGATTCCATTGCTGTCATAAGTAAGTCAATTTGGGAAGAAAATATTCTTAGTGCGAAGGCAGAAATCATATGTATGGAAGAAGCTGAACTATGAGGGAGGAGAATGATGCTGATCATCAGATGGAGGCCTATTGGGCAAAATATTAGGGTTAGGCCGAGAGAGGGATTTTTCATGTGGGCAATCAGAACAGTGACATGATATGTGCAGAACGTTAACTGTTGCTTCATGCAGACTTCATGATTTACTTGGCCCCACATTTTTTTCAGGATGCAGATTTGAACCTGGAACTGCTTATATATGAAACGTGAGTTCATTTTTGGACTCCTGTGAGCCTGGGGTTTAGGGCTGAACCAGATTGATGTAGTAACTTGATCAGACCACTGTCATCTAACAAATCGGAATCTTAATCATTGGAGAGGCCTGCAATTTCTTGTGTAACTATAACATAATTATGTTGGCTGTCTTAACTGATAAGCCATAAGACCACTCTTCTGCCACTGGAAGTCATAGAAAAAGATATGCTGATAGATGGAAAATAAAGTAAATCAAACAACTCTTAAGTTAGTTTGCCTTTATTCTGAAAACTCTGGTTTGGTTTCCTTAAACTACAATCTCTGTAAGTATGGATAATGTATTCTTCCAACTCATCTAAAAGCTATTGAATTAGCAATCTCTACTTAAGCTATGATTTATGTAAACTATTGTTCAGCCATATGTTGAAACTGAGTTGAAGATATTGCCCATCATGTGACAAATGCCAGTATGGTTTAACGGTTAAGATGAGATTAGGACTGGTAGAATCATATTCAAATCCATTCCAGCTGTGGAAATTCAGTAGATGCTTTTAGTCTAATCATTCTTCTATCCCAAACTATCTCACAAAGCTCCTGAGGGATAATACTGAGATCTCCATTGAAGATGCTGTGAGCCCTTAAAGATGAGATGCAGATTTAATAAGTAAATAGTACAATAATGCCCTTGTGTCTCTGCATCATCCTGAAAATCTGTCATTTGGCTCACAAGATAATTCCTATCACTAATTTCCACTAGAAGATATACCACTTAATGGTAATCAGATGAGCTCTTTATAGTGTATAACTACTTTGTGCTCCTGGATAAAAGAAGGGATATGAATCTAGCACATAGATTAAGTTGTAATATATGCATATGACATCTTTCATGAATGGCTTCAGTGGTCAGGAAATTTCTACAGGAAACACAAAGTAGATAAATTAATGCTGAGGGTTTCATTTTTGTTTCGCCAAAACTATAAATTTATACACAGGCAGTCCCATTAAATGTAGGAAGGATGAATGCACAATTGTATGTTCTAGGTAGAGTATATTAGTTTCATATGGGAATATATTATTAAAAAAAGATTATGGCAATGAAAAAGGTATACTGGAATCCATCTTTTCAGCATTTAATCTTATCTGTTGTGAAATCTTTTGTGAGTGAAGGAAATTATTGTGCTGAGACTGTTAAGTGCCAAGGAGGTATGCACAACTAATATTAGTTTTAATGTGATAAATAAATGATTGAGTCCTCACTTTTTATCTTTTGGGGGGAATAGTACAAGTTGTATGTACCAAGACAATTAGAAAATTCCATCTCTCTATCTATATATATAAATCTATTTACCCATCCATCCATCCAGAAAGCAATATAAACACCAGCATTATCAATGAAAACAAAGTACCTGCTTATAAAAACTGGAACTAGTGAAGCAAAAGATTACAACCAGTGGAAGCAATTAGAAGCGAGGGAGCAGGAATAGCAATCAAGATATATTCCAGATGTTGCTACAATCAGTTGTTTGTGCTGGCTTTATATTATCCTCAAATGGTTCCTGATTGTTTTGGCAATCATTGAAGAGTGTTTTGTGATGGATAACTTTGTGAGCAGCAGTTGAAAAATAATGCTTTGTTTTGACTGGTGAATAAATGTGGCAGTTTGTCATTTGATTTATAGAAGATTTATTTATTGTGCAGTTGTATGTTGGATGCTGTGTAACCAGGTTTGAGGACAGTGCAATAGATCTGCTCCAATCTCTCAATAGGCAGGAGCAAAGGCTGATTCAATAATAACTGAATATTTAAAAAATAAATCTACTAATGCTAATCCCAGAGCAAATGCTGTTCATTTTCTCCATACAGAAGGCTGAAAGAGGCTGCACTGAGAGACAATAGAATCTTGTCTGGCCCTTTACTGTGGGTTTGGATGAAGCTGAAACTGGTTGTAGCAAATTCTAATATTGATTTTGTACATTGGTTCCAATTTTTAGC